GAGGAACAGGTTTAAGGATTTAGATTTGGTGGACAGAGTGCCTGAAGAACTATGGATGGAGGCTCGTAACATTGTACAGGAGGCAGCAACGAAAACCATCCCAATGAAAAGGAAATGCAAGAAAGCAAAGTGGCTGTCCAACGAGGCCTTACAAATAGCGGAGGAGAGAAGGCAAGCAAAATGCGAGGGAGATAGTGAAAGATACAGGAAATTGAATGCAGATTTCCAAAGAATAGCAAGGAGAGACAAGAAGGCCTTCTTAAATGAGCAATGCAAACAAATAGAGGAAAACAACAGAATGGGAAGAACCAGAGATCTGTTCAAGAAAATTGGAGATATGAAAGGAACATTTCGTACAAAGATTACCATAATAAAGGACAAAAGTGGTGGTAAGGACCTAACAGAAGCAGAAGACATCAAGAAGAGGTGGCAAGAATACACAGAGGAATTATGGATGTCTCGTACACCCCAGGTAGTGTGGTTGCTGACCTTGAGCCAGACATCCTGGAGAGTGAAGTCAAATGGGCCTTAGAAAGCACTGCAAATAACAAGGCCAGTGGAAGTGATGGTATTCCAGCTGAATTATTTAAAATTTTAAAAGATGATGCTGTTAAGGTGCTACACTCAATATGCCAGCAAATTTGGAAACTCAGCAGTGGCCAGAAGATTGGAGAAGATCAGTCTACATCCCAGTCCCAAAGAAGGGCAGTGCCAAAGAATGCTCCAACTACCGCACAATAGCACTCATTTCACACGCTAGCAAGGTTATGCTTAAAATTCTACAAGGAAGGCTCAAGCAGTATGTGGATCAAGAACTCCCAGAAGTGCAAGCTGGATTTAGAAGAGGCAGAGGAACCAGAGACCAAATTGCAAACATGCGCTGGATTATGGAGAAAGCTAGAGAGTTCCAGAAAGACATCTACTTCTGCTTCATTGACTATGCAAAAGCCTTTGACTGTGTCGACCACAGCAAACTATGGCAAGTTCTTAAAGAAATGGGAGTGCCTGATCACCTCATCTGTCTCCTGAGAAATCTCTATGTGGGACAAGAAGCTACAGTTAGAACTGGATATGGAACAACTGATTGGTTCAAAATTGGGAAAGGAGTACGACAAGGCTGTATTTTGTCTCCCTGCTTATTTAATTTATATGCAGAATACATCATGCGAAAGGCTGGGCTGGATGAATCCCAAGCTGGAATTAAGATTGCCGGAAGAAATATCAACAACCTCAGATATGCAGATGACACAACCTTGATGGCAGAAAGTGAGGAGGAATTAAAGAACCTTTTAATGAGGGTGAAAGAGGAGAGCGCAAAATATGGTCTGAAGCTCAACATCAAAAAAACAAAGATCATGGCCACTGGTCCCATCACCTCCTGGCAAATAGAAGGGGAAGAAATGGAGGCAGTGAGAGATTTTACTTTCTTGGGCTCCATGATCACTGCAGATGGTGACAGCAGTCACGAAATTAAAAGACGCCTGCTTCTTGGGAGAAGGGCAATGGCAGGCCTAGACAGCATCTTGAGAAGTAGAGATGTCACCTTGCCAACAAAGGCCCGTATAGTTAAAGCCATGGTTTTCCCAGTAGTGATGTATGGAAGTGAGAGCTGGACCATAAAGAAGGCTGATCGCCGAAGAATTGATGCTTTTGAATTATGGTGCTGGAGAAGAGAGTTCCATGGACTGCAAGAAGATCAAACGCATCCATTCTTAAGGAAATCAGCCCTGAGTGCTCACTGGAAGGACAGATTGTGAAGCTGAGGCTCCAGTACTTTGGCCACCTCATGAGAAGAGAAGACTCCCTGGAGAAGACACTGATGCTGGGAAAGATGGAGGGCACAAGGAGAAGGGGACGACAGAGGATGAGATGGTTGGACAGTGTTCTCGAAGCTAAGAACATGAGTTTGACCAAACTGCGGGAGGCAGTGGAAGACAGGAGTGCCTGGCGTGCTCTGGTCCATGGGGTCATGAAGAGTCGGACACGACTAAACGACTAAACAACAACATATGTGTTGGTCAATAATGCAGTTGCTCAAAATTTTTATGAGAATAAAAAAGATGCTACAAAATCTTGGCTCTTCTCTATTGGCCTGCTGAACCCCTGGCTCTCTTGAAGTTGTCTGGATTTTCCTTCCAATCAATCTCTCTTCCCCTTCCCACAATTGTTGTTGTACAACTATTGTTGTACATAGTTCAGTCTGTATTCCTTTCCCCCAAGTGGCTTGAATTGATTTTGGCTTCGCTGCACAATCTTCTTGGGTACCCGGGATCTGCTTGTTTTCTAAGTGTGCCAGGAGGGCAATTGCAGTTTCTCATCACTGATCCAAACAGTGTAGTTACAATGACAGTGCCAGCCCTACTATTAGGCAAAGCGAGGTGACTGCCTTTGGCCGTGTCTGTTGAGGGAAGGTGGGATTGTGGCTGCCCAAACACTAGCCATTCCCATCCTCTTGAGCTGGCAGAGTACGGACTGCAGTGCTGCTGGGTTGAGCTGGCTGGATCTCTCACCTAGTGGCTTTCTTCTAATATTCCATAGATAGTATTCCATTGGGAAAGGACCCTAACTGAGCCACCAGGTAGAAAAACAGCTGATCCAAACCACACATTCCAGCAGGCATGATGACAAACCCATGTGCCACACAAGGAAAACAAAAACAACAAATCACCTGAGGCCAGTGAAGTTAAATCTTTATTCAAGGAAACCAACCACAAAGCTCAGGCCACAAAGCTCAGGCCTAGTGGTCTCAACAACCAGTGTGGTGAGCCAATGTGGTGTAGTGGTTAAGAGCGGTGGACTCGTAATCGGATGAACTGGGTTTACTCCTCCACATGCAGCTGTTGGGTAACCTTGGGCTTGTCACACTTCTTTGAAGTCTCTCAGCCCCACTCACCTCACAGAGTGTTTCTTGTGGAGGAGGAAGGGAAAGGAGAATGTTAGCCGCTTTGAGGCTCCTTTGGGTAGTGATAAAGCGGGATATCAAATCCAAATCCAAACTCTTCCCAGAAGGTCCTGCCCCAATGAAGCAGTTGTGAGGACTGAAGGCCCCCACCTTCCCACCCCTCTCTAAGGTTATTCCTCGCCAAGGTTTTTACCACACAGTACCAATCTGTGACTGCACACAACTAATCTCTGTTCTGCTCTTTTCATTTCTCTCTGCATTCTCAGAGACCAGCAGGGAGTGGGGCTGGTCGCAACAGGAGGGGGAGATTCCCTGAACTGCACTCTGCTCAGGCCTCTTCCTTCTTACCAGACCTTGTTCCACAGGGCAGGCACCACTACCAAGAAGGCCCTCTGCCTGGTTCCCTGTAACTTGGCTTCTCACAGCGAGGGAACTGCCAGAAGGCCCTTGGCGCTGGACCTCAGTGTCTGGGCTGGATGATGGGGGTGGAGACACTCCTTCAGGTATACAGGACCGAGGCCGTTTAGGGCTTTAAAGGTCAGCACCAACACTTTGAATTGTGCTTGGAAACATACTGGGAGCCAATGCAGATCTCTCAGGATCGGTGTTATACAGTCTCAGCGGCCATTCCCAGTCACCAGTCTAGCTGCCGCATTCTGGATTAATTGCAGTCACCAATTAATTGAGCCACCTTCAAAGGTAGCCCCACGTAGAGTGCATTGCAGTAGTTCAAGCGGGAGATAACTAGGGCATGCACCTCTGGCAAGACAGTCTGTGGGCAGGTGGGGTCTCAGCCTGTGTACCAGATGGAGCTGGTAAACAGCTGCCCTAGACACAGAATTAACCTGCGCCTCCATGGACAGCTGTGAGTCCAAAATGACTCCCAGGCTGCGCACCTGGTCCTTCAGGGGCACAGTTACCCCATTCAGGATCAGGGATACCAGTCCGCCCCCTGTCCCCCAAGAACAGTATTTCTGTCTTGTCAGGATTCAACCTCAATCCATTAGCCGCCATCCATCCTCCAACAGCCTCCAGGCACTCACACAGGACCTTCACTGCCTTCCCTGGTTCTGATTTAAAAGAGAGGTAGAGCTGGATATCATCCGCATATTGATGAACACCCAACCCAAACCCCCTGATGGCAATGCCAATTCATGAAGGATATGAATATCTATGAATGTCTATTAGCCATGATGGTCTCTGAATACCTAGCACAATACTTTGCTGATAACATATTCCTTATGACATCCTATAAGGCGGTGGCATAGGCCAATGCATCTGTGATGCCAGTTTGTTGTCAGCCTCTCTAGCTCCACACCAAACTGGCAGTAAGAGATATATCAGTGAGTTGAGAGGGTTTTCATTTCTGACTCTAGCAGATGAAGGGCTGTGGCCCAGTTGGAATTAAGCACTTCCTTAATTTTTTGAATGTGTTCATTTGAACCTCAGTCCCTGCTTTTGCTAGCTTTAAGGCCTCCCTGTGCTTTGTTGTCAACTAGCCTGCTGGTAGAGGCTGAAGCATAGGAAGCTGTTTTATACTGAATCCATCTAGCTGGCAGCAGCTTTCCAGGATTTCAGACCCGGGAGCCCAACCTGGAGATGCTAGGCAGGGGTCTGCAACCTTTAAGACAAAAAGAGCCACTTGGACCCATTTCCGAAGAAAAACAACAACTGGGAGCCGCAAAACCATTGCGACATTTAAAACAAATATATCTCCGGAGCCGCGATCTGTGTGACGTCGGGTGACGTCGGGACGGTGCGTGACTAATGCATGCACCGCCCCCATGCGACGTCACAGCCAGTACAGCGCCCGCCACAGTGGGGAGTGTCGGGGCGCACAATGCGCCTCCTCCCCTCGCTAGTATCCGCCCCGGAGCCGCGGCAAAGGTGTAAAAGAGCCACATGCGGCTCCGGAGCCGCGGGTTGCAGACCCCTGTGCTAGGGATTGAACTTGGGACCTTTGTATACAGAAGTAGATACATTAACATTAACATATGGGTCTTTTCTAAATTAGTTATGATGGCCCTTTCCATAATTTGCTCTTAGGTGATGGAGCTTCTGCGACCTCCAGTCAGGAGAATCAGGAGACATTGCCTGCATGCAGATTGAAAGGTGAGTGGTCTCAATAGGATTTAAGGACTTCCAAGCAGGAAAAACCCTGTTGATCGGGAAGACTTGGAACTAAGCCGTCACTTTGCCAAAGGAACAAGCCATGTTCCCACTACTCCTGTTTTAGGGAAACTCCTAGACTCAGTCCCCATGAGAGGCGATATAGGGGTGTACCAAACAGGGCCTCCTCCTGGGTGGCATCACAAATGTGGAATAGCTTCCCCAGGAAGGCCAGCTTAAAAATCTAGCTTGGTCACTTTCAGCACTGCATTAGAACTTTATGATGATTATAATTCTTCTGCAAACACCTCACTTTTCAGTTTTCTTATTAGCTGTTTTCTCCAGCTTTAGACTTCAGCACCTTGTTTACAGTATTGAGTTTTGTGCCTGTGACCTGTGGCTAGGATTTCTTCTTCTGCAGTTCTTCTTCAGATCAAAAGTTGGAAAATACAGTGGAATAAATTACCCATTAGTGATTATTCACTTTGCTCTAATTGCAAACAAACTAAAGAAAACTGCATGGGATAGGCAGCTCAAGATTCATCTATCAGCTTTCTCAGCTCTGCTGGAAGCAGATTGAGCATCAGGGGATTTTTGTTGTTCATTCCTTTCAATTCACAATATCCAGCTGCAGCAAGAACAACACACTTGTTTAAGCATTGCCTTATCTCCTTTGTAGCTTTCAGGCTCTGCTAGCAAGGCCTTCATTAAAGGGGAAAGTTCTAAATTTGTGCAGCTTGGGTCTCAGCAACCTAGGAGGCTAAACATAATAGCAAAAAAGAAATATTTTGCTTCAACTGACTTACAGCATAATCATTTCAGATTTCAGGGAATTGGGAAGAGCCTTGCTTCTCACTTTAAATGTCTAGTCTTAGTCTCATTTTAAATGTCTACTCTTAGATATGTTTAAGCTAAAGTTATAAATGAAACATACTTTTACTGTGTTTATTGCAGCAGAGCTGTGTTCTTCAGAATAACCCAAGGAATGTTGTCAGAAAAGGTCACCCCACCTTTGTGGGTGTAAAGGAGATTTGCTTTTTTGGCAAACGTGCAGATAAATTATGGTTTAAAGCTGCTTGTCTGCTTCACTCTTCCACCTGTTTGGCACTGTAGTTTCTTTAGTTCAAGGTCCTCTAGAAATGGAACAAACACTATAACTATGGTTTGCCAGTTCAGGCATGGCTCTAAATCACAGGGGTACGCATACCCCTAAACATTTTGTGAAACTAAGTTTGGCCTCATTGAGGGGCAGTATTTCAATATGAGTAGGAAAATGAGAGTACCCCTAAGCATTTTTTTTAAAGAAAAAAAGCACTTTATATAGGTATGTGCCATATGCATAGAATTAGGGCCCACTGCAGCTGAGAGCCCCCAAAGTTATTAGCATACATTGCTAACTAAGAGGATATCACTGAAATGTGACTACAATGAATTGTCATAGCTGAATTCCAGTTTGTAAGTTAGTTGCATCGTTTCCACTCTTCGTTTCTCACACTGCCCAATTATAGTCAGCAGAGGCTAGTCCATTAGGGCAGGGGCCACCAACCTGGCACCCGGTCTTATTTGGCACTCCTGAGTTTTTCTTATTTATTTTTTTAAAAAAATGGTAGGGAAGCACTGCTCGCCTACTTCTCCCGGACGCTGTCTCTGGCCGAATGGAATTACAGCCCGCTCGACAAGGAGGCACTGGCACTTGTGGCTGGAGTAAAGAGGTTCCTCTATGGGAGAACCTTCGACCTCATCACTGACCACAAGCCGCTCCTGGGCCTTCTCGCCAATGATCGACCAACTCCACCTTCCTCTCATCACACATGCTGCAATGGACTGTCTTTCTGGCAGCTTACAGCTACCAGATCGTCCATTGCCCTGGAAAATTGATGGGCCACACTGACGCTCTCAGTCGTTGCCCTCTTCCAGCGCTTGTAAAAGACCCGGCTCCTGCTTCATTGCTCCTCCTAATTGAGGACCTTCCAGCAGCGATGTAGCCTCCACAACCGATGTAGCCTCCACAACTGCCTGGGACCGCACCATCAAATGTGTACTCAACTGGGTGTGGAGGGGGTGGCCAGAAGGGTCTTTTGGGAATAAAAACTCAATGTAAAAAAAGAAGAAGAAGGGTCTTTTGCACCAGAGTTCCAGCCGTTTGCAACCAGACAGCACGAGCTCTTGGCTCATCACGGCTGCCTACTGTGGAGAGACCGAGTTGTGGTTCCCCAAAGACTCCGCCAACACGTCCTCGAGGCTCTGCACATCAGCCACCCGGCGATCGTCAAAATGAAGGCGTTGGCTCGGTGTTACATCTGGTGGCCTAACATGGACGATGCCATCACTTCATGGGTTACCTCCTGTCAAGCATGCCAAGAGTCAAGACCTGCATCGCTGGCAGCTAAGGGCAACACCTGGGAGATGCCCAAGGCACCCTGGTCGAGGGTGCACATTGATCTTGCCGGCCCCTTTCACGGTTGGACCTTCATGGTAATGGTGGACGCCTATTTCAAATGGCTGGAGGTGGCCCTGATGCACTCCACCCCTACCGAGGCCGTCCTCCGGGTGCTGCGAGGCCTGTTTGTGACGCATGGGTGTCCTGATGTCCTCATCTCGGACAATGGACCTCAGTTCACGTCGGGCACCTTTGAAAGGTACCTCTTGGGGCTAGGCATCCGCCATGCCCTAACAGCACCATTTCACCCAGCCAGCAACGGGCAGGCAGAAAGAATGGTGCATTCAGCAAAAGAGGCGCCTGGAACAGAGGGAATGGCACGAGCGGGTCACTGAATACTTGCTCATGGAGCACATCACCCCTCATGTAGCCACAGGGCGGAGCCCAGCCAAACTGCTAATGGGCCGCCGCCTCCAGTCTCCACTTGCCCGCTGCACCCGGACTTTGGTGTGGCCAAGCCCCCAGGCTGTACTAACGTGCCACAGTCCTTTATTCTGGGGGATCAGGTTTTTGCCCGGAACTTTGTGGAGGACATTCCTTGGGTGCCGGCCACGGTAGTGGGAGTCACGGGGCCCTGTTCATATCAGGTGGCACTCAAGAATGGACACTTGTGGTGCTGGCACATAGACCAGCTAAGGAGCAGGGTTGGGGATTTGGACACTACCGCTGTGCCTCCAACTGTGGCCCCAGCTCCGGAGCGGTCACTAATGGAAGGCGAGGCTCCACATACATCTTCCTCACAAACTGAGGGAATGGAGCCAAGCCAAGCCGTTTCGGTGGGTCTGCCTGGCTCTCCAGAGACTCGGACCACCGCCATGCCTGACTGTCCACCGAGTCCGCTTGTGGTTCCTTCGACAGCAGCCACCCGGGCAGCCACCTGGACTCTGGTACTGGCCCTCGACAGTCCAGCAGGGTTTCCAAGCACCCATCTTATTTAAAAGACTATGTTCACCGGACAAACTGCACATGTAAAGCTGTATGATGAATAGGGTCAATTAATATGCTTATGTGCCTTACTGAAACCAATAAGGGTACTGCTGTATTTAATGGAACCACTATGATTGTAACTAATGCCTTATCTTGGTAGGGAGGGGTGTTATGTATTGAAGTTCTCACTCTGGCCACGAGGGGTACTGTGTATATGCAGCAGTGTTTCCCAACCACTGTTAGGCGGCACACTAGTGTGCCGTGGGGAAAATTCGAAAGTTTTTTTTTTTTTTTGTAAAAGTCAAATTAGGTCCTCATCTATCCCTCGAGCACCTCTTGTCAGTTATTGTGACGCATGAAGCGTGTTCCCGCCCACTCCCCGCCCTCCCTTGCTTCTCTCTCTCTCTCTCTGTGGCGTTCTCCGCCGCTTCCTGCTGGGCATGCGCAGCTCGCCTCGCGCTTCCATTCCGACCCCTCCTTCCCCCGACTACCCCGCCGCTCCGTTCCTTTCTCTTTCTCGCGTGTCAGAGAGCGGCGGCGCGAGCGCGGCGGTTCCCTCAGGGCTGACGGAGGGCTCGAGGAGGAGGAGGCAGGACGTGGAGGCGGAGAAAGCGGCGGTGGCCACCCCCCACCTCCGGCTCGAGGCCCGCGTAGAAAGCTGAGGGGGAGAGATAGATAGAGGTGGGCGGCGGCGGCGGCGACCACGACCAACCGCCACAGTAGTTGTAGCGGTGGCGACGGCGAGCAGGGACTCCCGCTCTCTCTCCGTCGTGTCTCTCTCTCTCTCTCTCCCCCGGGCCCGTCCGTTGAGTCTCCCGCGCGCCTCGGCTACAAGATGAGCATCGAGATCCCGCCGGGTCTGACTGAGCTGCTGCAGGGCTACACGGTGGAGGTGCTGTGGCACCGGCCGCCGGACCTGCTGGCCTTCGCCGCTGAGTACTTCGCCAAGCCGCGCTCTCCTTCCTGCCTCGCTTTGCTGCCTCCTCCCCCCCACCCCCAAAGCTTGGACGTTCCCCGGCGCCGACCTGCAGGTTTGACCCCCTTCTCACACCTGTTCGCGCTCCTTGCACGGAATGGGGCGGATGGGGAGGAACGGGGCTCGCCGCTGCCTCCGCTCGCCCTCCCCCCCTCCGCCGGCGGTCCCGCAATTCTTGGCTTTTTGGCGGTTGGCACAGAAGGAAGGCAAGGGGGAGGGGAAAAAATTGAATCTTACACTTTCGTGCGTCCCTCCCGGCGTGACGCTGCGCGCTGACGTCACGGGGCTGTAATGGTGGTGTGCCTCGAGATTTTTTTCATGAAACAAGTGTGCCTTTGCCCAAAAAAGGTTGGGAAACACTGATATACAGTACAGTCATACCTCGCATTAAATATGCTTCACGTTGAGCGTTTTGAGGTTATGCTCCGTGGCGACCTGGAAGTAACGGAATGCGTTACTTCCAGGTTTCGCCGCTCGCGCATGTGCAGACACTCAAAATGACGTCAGATGCAGATGCGCAGTTGTGGGTTGCATTCTACTCAGAATGCGAACGGGGCTCCCGAACGAATCCTGTTCGCATCCAGAGGTACCACTGTAGTTTTCACTCAGGTCCACATCAGTTAATTTGGGCGGGAAACCCTGGGGTGTTGTTGTTACAATGTTGACAGCCGGCTGCCTATAAAAGCAGGCTGGTGAGCTGTTCAGTTCAGTTCACTTCCAGCTTACTATAAAGAACCACTTGGAGAAATCTCTGTGTCATCTGCTTTGTCAACCCACTAATTAATAAAATACATACATATTTGCTTCTTCTCTCCCAGGAGAGGAGGGGACATGACATCACACAGAGCCTTCTCTAACAATCCTGTTTCTATGGACTGCCTATCAGCAATGCAGCTCTATGGTCTTAACCACATGTTAACTAGCAAGAATGTGCATCGTTAGCTTTGACTGCATGTCTTCCACAGTTCTCACAGTGGCCAACCAGATCCTTTTATGGGAAACCTTCAAGCAGAACCCAAGCACAAAGCAGAACTCTCCCTTCCTGCAGCTTCCAGCTATTCAAAAGGATTGCTGCTGGCAACTGTGGTAATAGAGCACAGTCATCGCTGCTAGCAGCCATGGATAGCCCTCTCATCCATGAACTTGTCCAATCCCCTTTAAAACAATCTAGGTTGAGGGCTGTCTCTGTTCCTGTGGCAGAGAGTTCCATAGCTTAACCATGCACTGCATGAAGCAGTATTGTCTTGTATCCATCCTGAATCCTCCAGCCTTGCTCTCTCCCTGCTTATCCAATGCAGGCACATATGCATATACAGTTTCTGAATTTGAACTCGGTGCAATCTGTATCTGAGTAAATATACTTAGGCTTGTACCATCATCCTGCAATCCTGTGCAATGTGACTTGCTCGCTCCATGTAAACATGTATAGGGCCAGGGCTCTCTGATTGACAGATACCTCTTTGCACTTATTTTCAAGACTGCTCCGCATTTTGGGAAAATTTGGGAATATAAATAGGCAACTGTGTAATGCAGCAAAGGCCACAATTTTCCCCACAGGCAGTTGTGTACTATGATCATTTGTTGTTGATCATGATGATTATGATGATGATCATAGCACTAACGTGTTTCTCTCCCTGGATCTCTCTTTCCCCGGCCTCTACTCCCAAGCAGCGTGTTTCGAACTCAAGCCTTGGCGGAGGTCCTCTCCTCCGCCTGTTGCGTGGTGAACGGTGCCCTTACGCAAGATGGCGCTTGCGGTTTCAGGCCACGGAGCAGGCCTCCGTCGGGCTCGGAATCTCGCGAGGTTCGGTGAAGAGACGGGGCTGAGGTTCTGAGGAAGAGGCCGGGTTTTTTTGTTTTCCTTTTTTGCGGCGCGGGCGGGGAAGGTTCGGTCGAGGGTTCCGCCGCGAGGCAACCGGGGAGAGGTGCCCAGCTTTGGGGTGGGCCTCCCTCAGCCATGGAGCACATCACGACGCCCAAGGTAAGGGGTGATGTGTGTGTGATAGAGAAATGTGGCAGGTGCTGGCCATTCCTCCTCATGAGGCTTTTTCAGCCACCCCCCATCCCCCAAATTTTCAGCTAGTCCTTCCCATCCCCACATAACGGAGGAGGAGATGGTGAGGAAGGCCTGTTGTGGATATTTCCTTCTTCTCCCCGCAATCCCTCCCCCCTTTTTGGTAAACCATATGCAGTGTAAAGTAAGGGGTCCCTGAGCACGTGCAGAGTGCATTTCATGTTCGCCTTTCTGGTGTCTTATGCCCTAATCTCCTATTTGCTTGGCCAGGACGGGAGGGTGCGTGCTACAACCCTTTAAAAAATCTCACTATAGTAAAAATAAATAAACATACATACCAATGAGTAGAATATGCAAAATGAAACATTATTAAAATACATAACTTTAAAATAGAAATCATTCAGTGATGATAATACCCCGTACTGATGTAGTGGGGTTATTTTATTGTGCATCTTAATTACAAATGCTTACATTAAATGTTTGTATGACTGGTTTTTGTGCTTTTTATATCGTTTAGAAGCCTGTTTCAGCATTAAGTGATATAGTAGTAGTAATAGTAATGATGATGATACCCATTTAAAGCCTGCCAAGAATCCTTGTTTTCCTTTTTAAACCAGACAGCACTAGTATTACTGTATGCTAGCCTTGAGGCTGCTGCTGAATTGCTAAACTGTGGAGTTAGGTCTTGATAACACCACCTGGCCTTCCTGTACACAGGAATTGTTAGTCTTAAGGATGTTTTCCTCCTCCCACAACAAAACCTAATCAGACCCTCATTCTCATCCAGCCTTGCTCCAGACTCCTAGATCTTAGTCTCAGCAGCTGGTTGGGGTGTTGAAGGGGGGCAGTGGTTAGAAGCATAGTTATATGCAGTGTAATGTAATCTCAGAGTTTTTGAGCTTGTAATAGAGTGCATTCCCATAATCTTTCAGATGTTACATTATTGCTGGTGAACTGGAATTGATTAGCATTGACATAATGGAATATGCTTTCAACAAGTCTTGGAAATGGCTCAGCTCATCACTGAAAATAATATTTCTATAAACGTTTGTGTGCTTATTGTTCTCCCTTAATGCACACTGAAACCCTGAGCCTGCTTCCCAAGGTGCTCCTCAACCTTTGCCACTTATCCACATAAGGTGGGCTTCTTGAGATCTTGGTCCTAGAATCTGGTCTTGAAAGCAGGGATAATTGGTGCCAGACTTGGTGCCAGAATGTGCAGGCATCTCACAGGGATTCTGAGCATGTGCAGAATATGTTTCCCACTTTTAGCACCTTAAATGGTAGATTGAAATTCATTAGCAAAATTCAGATTGGTAAAATGTACTAATCTATTCATTTAGCTTGTTGACATGATACTCTGCAAACATTTGAGCTTGCATAAAAATGTCGTAGTCTTGCGTATCATTGCCTTTTTGGACTCACTACACATTTTTTCCTGTGCTTTTTCCTGTAGTTTTCCTGTATTTAAATCAGCCATGTAAATAAGACTATGTAAATATATAAGCATGCTAAGTGGCCAGTAACCTCTGTTCCCATGCTTACTGTAGAGAATGGCTTCACTATGGAATGCTTACTGTAGGTCATGGCTTCACTATGGAATAGTGAGTCGTGGGTCTTTTGACAAATTCACTCCTGAGTACCCCCTTGGGTGCTATGGAGTCAGTTTTACTCCTTAGTATACTGAAGAACGGTGGTTGATGAAATGGAATGGTCAAGGGCTGGAGCACAAGTGGTGTAAATCTTGATTGGGAGCTGACTGAGCACATGCTCATAATTTGACCTTCCACACAGTGGTGAGGGCCGTGAAGGGATGAAGAAGAAGAAGAAGAGTTTGGATTTGATATCCCGCCTTTCACTCCCTTTAAGGAGTCTCAAAGCGGCTCACATTCTCCTTTCCCTTCCTCCCCCACAACAAACACTCTGTGAGGTGAGTGGGGCTGAGAGACTTCAAGGAAGTGTGACTGGCCCAAGGTCACCCAGCAGCTGCAAGTGGAGGAGCGGAGACGCGAACCCGGTTCCCCAGATTAGCAGACTACCGCTCTTAACCACTACACCACACTGGCTCTACTCCGTTGCCTCCATTGCATCCTCAGGGAGCCAACCTGCAAACATTTTCCGTGTCCAGAGATTGGTTATTCCTGACGAGGCAAGGGTTGATCTTTGGAGTACAGTGGTACCTCGGGTTAAGAACTTAATTCATTCTGGATGTCTGTTCTTAACCTGAAACTGTTCTTAACCTAAAGCACCACTTTACCTAATGTGGCCTCCCACTGCCACTGCGCTGGCGCCAAGCGATTTCTGTTCTCATCCTGAAGCAAAGTTCTTAACCCGAGGTACTATTTCTGGGTTAGCCGAGTCTGTAACCTGAAGCATCTGTAACCCGAGGTACCACTGTACACAGTCGCCAGCTGTAACCAGATGGCTAAACAATTTGAGGATAAAGTTGCTTGGCTCCACAGCAATTTAGATGCTACTAAATCGAGAACTATAATAAATTAAAAGCAACATCCATAATTGTACTTACTGCTCCAAAACTTTTTCTTTCGAAGTCTTTGGTTGAATATTGAAGAATGTGAAGAAAATATTTTGTTTAGTGGGTTTTGCACTTGCTGGAGCATTCTCTGAATTCAGGAATGAACATTATCTAGCAAGCGCATGAAAGCATTTACAGTGGTACCTCTGGTTACATACGCTTCAGGTTACAGACTCCGCTAACCCAGAAATAGTACCTCGGGTTAAGAACTTTGCTTCAGGATGAGAACAGAAATCACGCAGCAGCTGCGCTGTGGGCCCCATTAGCTAAAGTGATGCTTTAGGTTAACAAGTTGGCCATCCCCATTTTAAAATATTTATGACTTTAGAAAGTTGGTGTCTCTTTAACTAAAGCATCATACTCTTACCTAAGATGAAGAAATCTACGTGCAATATTTTTCTTTAACCTAATAGTGGTTTATCTGAATGGAATAGATAAGAAAAGCAAACGCCGCATGAAAGGGTCCCAATGAGTCATTTATATATCAGGATCAGGAAACTCTTGGCTTAGCCATCTTGCTGCTGCTGTGTCCTTTTAACTTGTTACATCCACACTCCAACTTCCTGTTTTGCTGGCTGTTGCCTTTCAGAAGGCATGGGGGGACATGACAAGCTCTTTCCTTAGCCTGCACCATGCTAACATGTCAGAGAAAAAGCTAGAGATTTAGTTCTCCATAGCATTTTTTATTCAACAGTTTCTATCCTGACTTTCTGTCCTAACATTGAGCTGTGCAAATGCATATTAAAATAGAAAGCATGCAATTTCTAATGTTTTTGACAACGCTAACATTGTTGGAAAATTCTGAAGTGTACTTGTTTAATTCATTTACGTAGCTTTATAACCTGACCCATCTCAAAAATGTGAGGCAAGTAACAAAAGCAGGCTTCCAGCTGTGATTTGCTTAACCTTGAGCCCCAAAAGCTTAACAGGTAGGCATTTCTCTCTTTAGGCTAGGTTCACTACTAATGAAATATTCACTTTGCAGATGAGAAAACAGGAAGGATCACTGGCTCGGTTGCTATCACTACTGTGGCATCTTCTTAAAATATGATATATGCCACAAGTTGGTTGTTTTGAGTATGAATCCAGAGTCAGCTGTGCTGCAATCCTCTCCATTTCCTCTTCGATTATTTTCGTATTATCTGTATACCAAGGAGTCCTCTAGCAGCAGGAACTTGTGCTTCGAAGCTCTTTTGCCAGTGATCCAAAAATCCATTCTTTGTTGCACAGGCTAGCAAGGCCATTGGCGGAAGAGCTATCAAAGCTAGTAGGAGTGTTTCCTACAGAGCTCTGGCTCATGATTCTTTTGGATAGAGTTCTTACAAACACATTGAGGTGCTGAAAAGGAGTTGAGAGCTAACACTATTTGCACTTAGAAAATCTTCCTTGCTTGTTTGCCTAAAAGTCATTATTTTCCTCATCACGGGTGATCAGGTGAATGGTTGTTGCAACTGGTTCCCCACCTGGAATATGAGTATCTCTGCTGAATGATAATAATAATGCTGTTTCCATATGCTCAATAATTAAAAACCTGGTGTTCAGACCAAAGCATTCTCATTTAATGTTGAATGCTTGAAAGTAAATAAGCTTGGTGATAAAACTCCACGTTCGGAATATGAATCCTCCCCCCTTGATTTGCATTTTCTATAAAGATGTTATTGGAATTGAATAACTCCATAGAAATTTTCTAAGCAAAGAATTTATTTTCTGAACATACCGGTATTTTCCAGATACTGTATATGAACTGGGATCCTGTCAGAATATAAATTAATCTGGGAATAATGTTCATTTTGAGAGCATTCACTTTTCCCCAAATGGTGAGGTTTAATGACTCTCATCTATCAATATCTGAATAAACCTCTCCCTATATTTTATTTATATTGCATGTTACTAATTGAGATATATTTTGGCATAGACATACCTAAAGATTTGATAAGATTTGGTACAAATACAAAATTGATTTGGGCAAGCAAATTTTCACCTATAGGCATCAATTCCGATTTGGACCAGTTAATAGAGTATCTTGATATTTTACTAAAGGCATCTATCATTTGCATCAACAGAGGAATAGTAGTATGAGGTTTAGAAATAAACAAAAGAATTAAATACTAGAAGCTAACAATTGGTGTTAATTTTCTGAAGTGGGCAACTTTGGAAAATACCATACATAGCATCTTTGGTTGGGTGGATAGTATTAGGATCAAAATACATTAGAACTCTGGTGTCTCTTGAAACGATTATGTCTGAGAACTGTGGAATGCAGTGTCTTAAAAAATAGGATTTGACCCCTTTAAAAATTGGGGGAAAGATGGTGATGTGGAAAAATTTGATGGAAGTGGGCATATTGACTTTGGATCAACTGATAGATGATGAATTTTAACATTAACTGTGTTACAAGATAAACAGTAGCTATTGCATGCAAGCCAATGGCAGTATTTACAGCTACAACATTTGTTAACTATGCTACTTTGTTTGGACCAGTAGCATTTTCAGCTTCTGGGACACCTGAGATACTAGAAGAACTGGTTAAATATTTTAAAACTAAAAAAAACCCACAATTACTTTTTATAGTTATTTGTTATCAATAAATCAATTTGATATGCAGATGTTAAGAAATAAATGGAATAAAGAATTGGAGGTACTTATATGGCCTAGAATGGGAGAGCTTTTTAACTCTTATACCAAGGGTTTTAGTGGACCTTAAATTATGACATAAAACAAAAAATAATATTTAGAATTTGTTGTATTCCACCATGTTTATATAGAAAAGGATTTTTTTGGAGATTTAATAAGGATAATGTTTCTTTAAAATGCATTTTTACAATGTCCAGTGCTTTCTAAGTTTTGGGAGAAGCAGTGGATTATATAACAATGACTGTGTGAAAAATGCTAAAATTTTCAGAGGATAATACTCTTTTGAACTACATATCTACTATTTGGAATTTGACAACTGGACAACATAAATGGATTCTCCATGCCCTTACTATGGCTAAAAGTCTGATATTGCTGCCCTGGAAAGATAAATGTACGGCTCCAAGGGTGCCAGCTTGAATAAAATATTGTTGGGTGGGGGGAGGTAAGCCCTGCCTTGCATAATTGATCACAAGATGCTGCACACACAGATAATTTGAATGGCAATGCCTATCAACTTTGGGGGGGTGACCCCCCCAATATTTTTTCAAGGGGGGCAAAAGGGATCTCAGCCCCTAGGAGTTGGCTCCTATGTACATTTATTAAATGGTTTTGAAAACCTGACTACACCTGCCACCTATGAGAAGATTGCTTATAGACATAGACTTTGCATAAACAATTACAGTGGTACCTCGGGTTAAGTACTTAATTCATTCCAGAGGTCTGTTCTTAACCTGAAACTGCTCTTAACCTGAAGCACCACTTTAGCTAATGGGGCCTCCTGCTGCCGCCGCTCCGCTGGAGCATGATTTCTGTTCTCATCCTGAAGCAAAGTTCTTAACCTGAAGCACTATTTCTGGGTTAGCGGAGTCTGTAACCTGAAGCGTATGTAACCTGAGGTACCACTGTATAATGAAATTTGGAACTCCATTATACAAAATACAGTAGGTTAAAAATTGTAATTGTTAACAGTTATAATGATATACTATATCTCTTTTCTCTCTCTTTTCCTCCACTTTTCTTTAAAACCACTTTTTATATGTTGTATTTAATTTAAAAATGAAATAAAACATTAAATCTCACAAGTGTGCACCCTATCTGGGCAGCGCAGATGACTTTTATGTTCTGCAACTTATCTGGTGTACTGCAGATATTTTAGAAATGTTCTAAACTAATGCCCACCCCCTGGCACTCTTCCTTTTATTATTACCCTACAGGTAGAAAATGTCAAGTTACTAGATCGTTACACCAACAGAAAGCCAGCAAATGGAACACTGTACCTGACCGCAACACATTTAATCTACGTAGATGCTTCGGCTGAAGTTCGAAAGGAAACATGGGTAATGTCAGAGTGCAGTGTAACTCTCTTGCTGAGCACTGGGAGATAGGTTGGGGGTGTCTTGTGACCTAAAGGGCTGTATTGATGTCCATGTGTCTATTTAACAAGCCTAATTTGTTCAGAGCTTTTAATGTACTATGATGTGTTCAGGATTTGTCTGGTGATCATTTAATGAGCATATGGATAAAAGCAGCCCTAGTGGTCCAGCACCATCAGCAGTCTCTTCAATGTGTATTGGAAGCCAGAAGCGATCTGTGAAGGCAATAGCACAGCTTGTTGTTCAGCAACTAGTATTCAGGAGCATACTTCCTCTGATACTGTTTCTATAGTGTTGTTGGTGATGTTTTTAACATGATATTAAGCCCATAGCAATTGTTAGAGATAAACATCAATTGGCTGAGGACTAAGTTTGCATCTATAAAATTTAAGCAACATTTGCTCAACTTTGCATTACCAAAATGGTATCTCCATACTGCAACAAGTACACACCCACCTACCCCAATTAATAGTTTCCTTTTCATATTTTTTCTCGCACTATGTTAATCTTATTTCATGAAAAGGAAAATCTTAAAGCAGGCTAGCAAATAAGTCATACAACATTTTTTGTCTGCAATTCCCCCGTCTGGCCCACAGTTTTCCTGCCCACACATCCCTATCTTAGTCATTTGTGCCTTCAAAGTAAAAGAGAATCTACTCCTATAAAGCACCCCTGCCTGGAGACACTTACCCCAGGAAAGTAGCTGTTTATGAGCCTGATTCAAAGTATCTGTACCAGCTGAGATTTAATTCATGCTTATGAAATTAAGCATCTTAGTAAACTAGTGTTCCTGTGATGTATGATGGCATAACTGAGAGATTTAACTTTCTAGAAGTAAAATTACATCTTTCATGACAAGATGTAGTTCTCAGTCATAAATACTGAGTATTTGGTTTTTCTAAAATGTAAATAGTCTCTAGTTTCAGTTAGAATTCAGTCAGAATGGCTTTTTAAGCTGCAGTCAGTATTGACCCTGTAAGCTTTCTTCCTCTTTTTTTTTACAGATTCTCCACCACCATATTGCTACTGTGGAGAAACTGCCTCTGACCGCATCTGGCTGTCCACTGCTTATTCACTGCAAGAATTTCCGTGTTGCTCACTTTATTATTGGTCATGAGCGGGACTGTCATGAAGTCTACACTTCCCTGCTGAAACTTTCTCAACCAGGTACTTGGAAAGTGCAGTTTGCTTCCATATGAAGGAAGGAACTTAGCTTAGTGATACAATACTTGCATTGCATGACAGAGATTTCAGGTTCAATCTCTGGCATCTCCAGGTATGCAAAAAATGACACCTGTCTATCTGGATTTCCACTGCCAGCCAAGGCAGACAGTACTGAGTGGATACACCAATGGTCTGATTCCTATATTTCATACCCTGGCAATGCAAGTGCGTGTTGATGATGAGCTTTGGTTATTGAACTTTGAGCTCTTGTTAAACCAGACAGGAAGAAAGGAAAGCATCAATAGCTCCAGCTGTTTCCATCGCTGTTAAAAGACCCTGCCGGTCAAGAATGATGGGAACTGTAGCCATGCAACATCTGGAGGGCTGCAGGTTCCTGATTGCTAGTCAAGAGTATTTGTATTCTGCTTAAAAGATTTCTGCAGTGATTTGATGTTGGTGGGTAGTAATTAAATTTGTTAGTTGCTTATCGCACAAAGAAGCTTTCCAAGTGACTTACAATGTATTTAAGAGCACAAGCACACATGAAAATAAAACACATGAAATCCATAATAAACCACAAAGCAACCCTCAAAAGTAGTTATTGTTGAGAGGGAAAAGTGCCTGGATTGTGTGGTGATCAATTACATTATCAGTTTCATTTTAGAATCATATTTTTAAGAGCAAAAAAGAGAACACATTTGCTGACTTCTACTTTTAACTATGGATTGCTATAACGATTCTTGTTTTACATACCCATGGAAAGGAGGATGTGTCCTGGAAAAAGAGGACATATGGCAACCCTACTCTAGTCACTAAAACTGGAAAAAATAGATACTGTTTCAGCGTTTATAGGACCTATATGATAACAGAAAAAAATTATCTGCACTTAATACCTTATTGCATGTAATAATGGGCCATGGATGAGCTGGCTTCCTCACCTTCGAAGACAGAGCAATTTGTGTGGGATCTGGAAGAAATCCTACAGGCTGTATTGGTGACCCTGCGTAGGCCTGATGAAGCTCCTTGGGTCAGTATTTGACACTGTTGAGATTAGAATACCTTTCACGTGCAGCATTCCTCAACCTAGTGTCCTCCAGGTGACTTAGACTACATCTCCCATCAGTTCCATCTAGAACAGGGCTGATGGGAATTGATGGGAATCGAAATCATGTGGAGAGTACCAGATTGGGGGGCGGGCTGCACTAGAGAGTCCTGCCAGCAGCTTCCATTTTCTCTCTAATTTAGGGCATCGTGGTTTTTATTTATTTTGTGCTTGAATACCCATAGTTTTGTTGTGGTTCAGTACCTCCACAGAATCCCACACTGTCTTTCCTCAGCAAAGCAAAAATAATTACTCATTATTCACTAGTGGGTGACTGACGGTTGAAGATTACCTGTTTGGCAAACTGACTATTTTATCAGATGCTGGCAGAGACCAATCTGTCTCTGGAGAATCTGCTTACTTGAGAGACAACAGGATAAGTTATTGATTGGATTTGCATTTTGCAACGGAAAGGAAGGAGGCCTGGAAAGGCAGGGAGTGAAAAGGCAGGGAGTGAGTTATTGTTGATCTGTTTGAATTTCAAAGCTGTCACTGAGTTTGACAATGTTTCAGAGAGCTACCATGTTTTCCCAGCAAACCCAAGAGCATCATTTTGCTGTAACAGTTCTAGGCAGATGAGGTTATCAGGTTCAGATGATAAGCAAACATATTTATTTATTTCAGTTTCTTTATGAATTGCTTCCTGTGAAGCATCTCATTGTAATTTAACAGTAATAACTGAAAAAGGAAGGTCTTCAGTAGGGACCAGTGGAGACGGCATCTGTCTGATAAGAAATGGGTGGGAGTTCCAAAGGGTAGATGCTGCCACATTAAAGTCCCACTTCCTACATTATATGGAGCAGACCTGCTGAGATGGTATCTGCAGAATGCCTTCTCCTGCAGAGGATATAAGGGATATAAGAGATGAGATCCTGTTTTAGGAATCAACTCCCAAGCTGTATAAAGTTTTGTGTAAAAGTACCAGCCCCTTGGAACTTGGCTCAGTAGTTAATGGGCAGCCAGTGAAATTTTATACATTTATTTATTGAATTTATATACCGCCTTTTCCTGGAAGTCTCAGGGTGGTTCGCAGAACAAAATCCAAATATAAACTACAAAATGTGTAATCAAAATAACAACAACCCAATAAGCCACCCCCCAAAAAAACACATTTTAAAAGGGCATAGGATGTCAGTCAAATCAACCAAAGGCCTGGTTAAAAAGGAATGTTTTTGCCTGGTGCCTAAAGGTGTATAATGAAGGCGCCAGGTGAACTTCCCTGAGCAGAGCATTACACAGACAGGGAGCCACTGCAGAGAAGGCCCGTTTTCGTGTTGCCACCCTCCAGACCTCGAGGAGGAGGCACACAAAGGGCTTCAGAAGATTATCTGGGTAGGTTCATATGGAATGAGGCAGGCCTTGTGGTATTGCGGTCCTGAGCCGTTTAAGGCTTTATAGCTCAAAACCAGCACTTTAATTGGACCCATAAACTAATTGATAGCTGGTGCAGTCAGACCAGTATCGGTGTAATATGCTCAAACTGTCTTGCTCCAGTGAGTAACCTGGCCACTGAATTCTGCAGTAGTTGAAGTTTCCAAACCCTTTAGAGGCAGTCCTACATATAATGCCTTGCAGTGATCTAACCTTGAGGTTACCAGAGCATAGACAACAGTAGTTTGGCTATCCCTGTCCAGATAGGGGCATAGCTGGACCACTGATGGTACTCCGGTCCATTGAGACCACCTGAGCCTCGAGCAACAGCAAAGGATCCAGTAGTATCCCCAAGCTATGAACCTGCTCCTTCACAGGCAGTGTAACCCCTTCAAGAGCAGGCGACCTCCCACCCATCTGGTCTAGGGAACCACCCTCTAACAGTGCCTCAATCTTATCTGGATTGAGTCTCAGTTTGTTGGATCTCATCCAGTCCATTACCAAGGCAAGACACTGGTCCAGCACTTCCACTGCATCACCTTCAGTTGCAAAGGAGAAATAGAGCTGAGTGTCATCTGCATACTTCTGACAGTTCTCCAAACCTCCAGATAACCCCATCCAGCGGTTTCATGTAGAAGTTTAACAACATGGGGGATGTGATTGAGCCCTGTGGAACCCTACATTGAAGATTCCACGGGGCTGAAAAGCATTCCCCAAGCAACACCCTCTGGGAATGACCATCCAAGTAGGACTGGACCACCACAAAGCAGTGCCACCCACTCCTAGTTCAGACAGTTGCTCCAGAAGGATACTATGGTTGATGGTATTGAGAGGTCGAGAAGAATTAACAGGGACATGTTTCCCTTGTCTTGCTCTCGACAGAGGTCATCATACAGGGTAACCAAAGCAGTTTCTGTGCCAAAACTGGGCCTAAACCCTGATTGAAATGGATTCAGAAAATCAATTTCTTCCAAAAGTGCTTGAATCTGGTCTGCAACCACTTATTCCAGAACCTTGCTCAGAAAAGGGAAATTAGCAACTGGCCGGTAGTTAGTTAGGTTTTCTGAATTCAGGAAAGGTTTCTTAAGGAGTGGTTTTACCACTGCCTCCTTCAAACAGGCAGGGACCACCCCTTTTCATAAGGATGCATTCATCGCTTCTCTGGTCCAGCCAGCTGTTCCCTCCCTGCTGGTTTTTATCAGCCAAGAGGGGCAAAGGTCTAGAGCACAAGTGGTTGCCCTGACTGATCCTAGCACCTTGTCCACATCCTCAAGCCTTACCAACTGAAACTCATCCAACACAACAGGACTAGACTGTGCTCTAGACACTCCATGAGAGCCATCTGCTATAACAGCAGAGTCAAGGTCTTGATGGATGCAAGCAATTTTATCCTCAAAATGCTTTGCAAACAAGTCATAGTGAGCTACTGTTGGTTCTATCACCTCCTTTGGGCCAGCCTATAAAAGGCCCCATACAACCCGGAAAAGCTCTGCCAGATGACATAATAAGGATGCAATGGAGTCAGCAAAGTATGCCTTCTTTTCTGCCTTCACTGCCACTAAAAAGGTAAAGGTAAAGGTACCCCTGCCCGTACGGGCCAGTCTTGACAGACTCTAGGGTTGTGCGCCCATCTCACTCAAGAGGCCGGGGGCCAGCGCTGTCCGGAGACACTTCCGGGTCACGTGGCCAGCGTGACATCGCTGCTCTGGCGAGCCAGAGCCGCACACGGAAACGCTGTTTACCTTCCCGCTAGTAAGCGGTCCCTATTTATCTACTTGCACCCGGGAGTGCTTTCGAACTGCTAGGTTGGCAGGCGCTGGGACTGAACAACGGGAGCGCACCCCGCCACGGGGATTCGAACCGCCAACCTTTCGATCAGCAAGCCCTAGGCGCTGAGGCTTTTACCCACAGCGCCACCCGCGTCCCACTCACTGCCACTAGGTAGGCTCAATAATGAGCCCTTACCAGTGTTTGATTGCATTCATTTGGATCTTTCCTCCACTTGCGTTCAATTTTTTAAAGCAGTGGTGCAATAAGATGGTGATATGTTTGCACAGTGAACAGCCAAGCTGCTGCATTTTGCATTAACTCGATAGTTTCAGGCACCCACATGATCAACTTTGCACCTACACACAAGCAGCAAAACCCAGGTGTTCCAATTAGTGCTAGAAACACCACAGAATGACAGCTTGTTTTTCTGATTTCCAAGGGAGAGCAGCCATTGCTGCCTGTTTCATTAGTCTTTGGTGCAACATGAGCCTAATCTAATTAATTCTGCATATTGCTTCCCAAAAACATAAGAATAACATGTTGGATCAAGCCAATGGTTTTCTAGTCCAGCATCCTGTCTCATAGTGGTCAAGCAGATGCCTTTGGGAAGCCCACAAGCTGGATGTGTTCTCCCTGGTTCTTTTTTTCCTCTTTAACATCCAGCAAAAGTTTGCTTATTCCCCTTTTCCTTCTTTTCTTTTTTGGAGACTTCTTTGGTTGGTCCTAATCAGCAAGGTTACATGTTTTCACATTCTACACTAAGATTGGAGTTAGGCTGAGAATATGATCCCTGTGGGCTGAAACCTTGGATTTGTTTTGGCTCTTTTCTTGTTGAATGCAAACATAAAACCAAAACAAGCCTCTTCCCAGAGAAAAGAGCAAGGTATCCCGCCCCCTCCGACCTTGTACTCTGTAAGAGGGAACAGAAATCTTGATAATGTCAAATGTCTGCCTCACCAGAAGGGTCTGCAAAGCTTTCTTAACCTCTGATGATAAAAGTACTATAAATGCTTTTATGTTTGACTTCATCTCCAAAGGACCAATGTGGCTACCTACAGGTTTTGGTCATATATGTACAAAGGCATCTTTTGGGGTTATTGCACATCCATAGAATCATAGAATTGTAGATTTGGAAGGGACCCTGAGGGTCATCTAGTGCAACTCCCTCAATGCAGGAATCTCAGCTAAACCATGCATGACAGATCCAACCTCTGCTTAAAAACCTTCTATGAAGGAGAGTGCACAGCCTTCCAAGGGAGTCCATTCCACTGTTGACTAGCTCTTACCATCAGAAAGTTATTCCTCTTGTTTAGCTGAAATCTCTTTCTTATAACTTGAGTCCAGTATTCACATCCTAGCCTCTGGAGCAGGATAAAACAAGCTTGCTTCATTTTCCAAGTGACAGCCTTTTAGACAGTTGACAGTGGCTATCATATCTCCTCTCCATCACCTCTTCTACATGCTAAACATACCCAGCTTCCTCAACCGTTCTTTATAAGGTTTGGTTTCCAGTCCCTTGATCATCTTGGTTGCCTCCTCTGCTCACATTCAGCTTGTCATCCTTCTTAAATAGTTGCACCCTGAACTGGTCACAGTATTCCAGATGTGGTCTGACCAAGGCAGAATAGAGTGGTACTATTTTTTGATACTTTATTGCGGTCATTGACCTTAATAAAAGGACTTGACTTGACGACTTGAGTGGTACTGTTACTGTTCTGGAGCTGAACAAGTGACTTCTGTTGATACAGCGTAGAATAGTGTTAATTATTTTGCTGCTGCATCACACTGTTGTATCATTTTAAATTTGTAGTCTACGAAGATCCCTAGATCCTTTCTGTGTACAATCCAGGTGTCCCCCATCTTCTTTTTGTGCAGCTGGTTATTCCTGCTTAAGTGTAGAATTTAGGGTTTAGCTTTTTCTATTTTATCTGTGTTTTTGTATTTTCATCTATAAGCCACCTCAATTCCCAGACTGGGGGGAAATTGGATGATGATGGTGATGGTGATTAATAATAATAATAATGCTATTCTAAAACATATCCATGGGTCTTTCACAATAAAAACTTATAAACTTTAAAATACAATGAAATAGCAAAATAACCTCACAGAGCACCAAAATTCTTTTTAACAACAATAAACAATAAAAGTATCAGTGGTTTGGTTTTGTTTTGAGAAGGAGCCTAAAGGCCTGGGCAAATAGAAATATTCTTTCTTGGCACCTAAAAACCATGTACCTCCCATTCAACCTGTCGCAGAAGCTTCATGAAAGTTTGTTCTTTCTTTTAACAGTGGAATGGACAATCATATGTATATGTAGATGAATAGGAGGGAACATTGGTAAATGTTGTGTGAATTAGTAATTTAAGGGCTTTTTCCCCCAAGGCTGGGGGAGGCTGTTAAAACAAAATCTGAAATTGGAACAAAACTGAACACAAAGGAAACCTCTCAATGAGGATAGAGGAGAAATTTGTTCTGTTTTACTGCTACAGCTCAAACATCAGCTGGATAGCTCAGTTGGTTAGAGTGTGGTGCTGATTATACCAAGGTTGCAGGTTTGATTCCCATATGGGACAGCTGCATATTCCTGCATTGCAGGGGATTAGACTAGATGATCCTCAGGGTCCCTTCCAACCTGACAGTTCTGTGATTCTATTTTACCTAATTCACACCTTCTAAACCAAAACACAGTTATCCTTTTAAATTCACACTTCACTGAATTGTGATGCAGTTTTTTGTAATGCAGTTTTCCCACCAAAAATGTGTATATAAAAAAAGCATATGTTAGAGGAACGTGTGTGCAAAAATATGTATAATAGTGAATGAACTGTCCCCACCCAGACCCCATAGAAAGGAATTATATTAGGGGAATTGCCAAAAAAATGAGTACAGATTTTGTGCTGACTTGAAAAGAAAAGCATATGCCGTTTTAAAATGGCACATTTATTTATCTATTTTAAAAAAGCATAAATAAAGCACGCTGAGCCTAAAACTGGAAAAACAAGTAACCAAGCAGAGCACATTTGCAGAGTAATCCATCCCTACTCCTGATTCCACTTGTGTGTGTGTATGTGTACCTGTGATTTATGAAGGATTCTGGCTTACACAATCACTTATCTTTTTCCTCTTTCAAAATTGTTTTTGTGCTCTAGTGAAACCGGAAGAGCTTTATGCATTCTCTTACAATCCCAAAATGCCCAAAGAGAACCGGGAGATGGGCTGGAAGCTGATAGATGTCAAAGTAGACTACCAGCGCATGGGGATTCCAAATGACTATTGGGAAATAACCGATTTTAACAAAGACTATGAGGTAATTCTTGTTCAGACGGCAGCTTAATGCAGTGTTTCATTCCAATGGTTTGTTACATTTTTCATTCTAATTTTGTTCATGTATTATTTATTTTACTTGTGAGCTGCTTCAAAAGATGAATATCCTTAAAGGCAGGATATAAATAAGCAGAAGAATACCAACTATCTTCCAGTGGCAAATATGCCTTTTTCTGGGCAAAGTGCTTGAGAAGGTGTTGGCAGTCCAGCTTCAGGCATGCTCAAAGGAAGCTGATTGCTTGGATCCAATCCCTTCCAGCTTCAGACCTGGTCATGGCACTGAAACAGCTTTTGTCATCCTAGTTGATGACATTTATCAGGAGAGAGATGTGGAGACTGTGCCCCTGCTCCTACTCCTTGATCTTTTTGCAGTTTTTGATACTGTTGACCATAGTATCCTTTTGAGGCAGCTCAGGGAGGTAAGGGCTGGGGGCACTGTATTTCAGTAACTCTGCTCCTACCTCCAGGTCCATTTCCAGAAAGTAGGCTACTGTTCAGCACCATGGCAGTTGTCCTCTGGTATCCTGCAGGATTCCATCTTATCCCCCATGCTCTGGTGACTGGGAGTGGCTGCCAAGACCATATAACACCGGTCCTGAAAGACCTACATTGGCTCCCAGTACGTTTCCGAACACAATTCAAAGTGCTGGTGCTGACCTTTAAAGTGCTAAATGGCCTTGGCACAGTATACCTGAAGGAGCATCTCCATCCCCGTTGTTCATCTCAAACACTGAGGTCCAGCGCTGAGGGCCTTCTGGCGTTTCCCTCACTGCGAGAAGTGAGGTTACAGGGAACCAGGCAGAGGGCCTTCTCAGTAGTGGTGTGCGTCTTGTGGAATGCCCTCCCATCAGATGTCAAGGAAATAAACAACTATCTGACTTTTAGAATATATCTGAAGGCAGCCCTGTTTAGGGAAGTTTTTAGTGTCTGACACTGTATTGTTTTTAATATTCAGTTGGAAGCCGCCCAGAGTGCCTGGGGAAACCTAGCCAGATGGGCATGGTATAAATAAAAAAAATGTTGTTGTTGTTATTTAACATCTATTTGAATTTTCTGGGAGCTGTTGTCATGAGATTTGGAGTGACACGTCATCAATATGCAGATGACACCAAGCTTTATCTCTTTGCTCCCTTTGGATCAGGAGAGGCGGGTGAGGTGTTAGACCAGTGCTTGGAGGCAGTGATGGAATGGATGTGGGCCAATAGAATGAAGCTGAATGCTGAAAGTACAGAGGTGGAACCTTTGATTTCTGGGGGCAGCAGACAAAGAATCTCAAAAAAGAAAACCAACCCTAAAACCCCTTCTATTTTCCCTTTACTCTTAACTTGGTTAAGTATGTCTTAAGTGATTTGGACATCCCATGGATGGGGCTCTGGAAGGCTGGAAAGCCATTTGGAAAAGGCCCATAATTTTATAAAATAAGGCTGGATATGTTAAGGAAGGATAAAACTGAACTAATTATGCATCACTTGTTTTGGGATACAAGCTTTTGTATTGCTACATTGCAATAAGGTGTATTAAGGAGATAATAATCTATGAGAAACAGTACAAGGTGAGGGAGAAAACCTGCTCTTCTCTCTAGCCTTGCATTCTATAAAAGACTGTTGAAACAAACCACACATAAAAGGGTCCTGTAACACATCTCCTGAAAACAGTTACTGTTGGGCTTTGGTGAGTTTTCCCTGGGGAATTGTACAACAGTGAAACTACAACTGAAAAGGTCTGACTTGTTAATCGAACTGACCTTACATGTCCAGGGAACTTGCAGAAAGGTCCCTCTCTTCTAGATCATAATGAACAGTAATGCTGTGCGTTCTGTCAGTCAGAGCAATTTAGAATGAGTGTTTGGTGCGTGCTTGCTTGCTTGTAGCAATAGTATCTTACTCCTACTGATTCTGAACAAATACTGCTAAACACCTTAACACATTTGCAGCTGACTTAGCTTTAATATCAATGTTGAGTTTCTTTTTGTATCTTAGGTTTGCAGCACATACTCTCCAGATCTAGTGGTGCCTAAAGCAGCTACTAGGGCAACGGTGCTGGGGAGCTCAAAGTTTCGAAGCCGGGGTCGGATACCAGCACTTTCCTACTTCTACAAAGAGAATAATGTTAGTAACACATGCTCTGCTTTTCATGGGGTTTTGGTCTTCCTCCATAGTCAATCCCGTCTTCTTCCTCGGGACTCAACCTGATTGTGCTGTATGTGTAGACTAGGGGTGGGGAACTAATGGCTCTCCAGACATTACTGGACAACAGGTCCCATCTTCCTTGATCAGTATCAATATTTGGAGCTGAAGTCCAGCAACATGCAGAGGGCCACAGGTTCCCCACCGCTAGGATAGATCAAGCCTTAGACAATGCATATTGATGCAGAGGGCAATCTTGTCTTCTTGTACTGAAATTGCTACCTTGAAACTATTTTAGCTTTACATTTTAAACACATGTAAATATTGCTCATGTCTTCTCTCTTCCTCTACCATACCATATGACTTCTTGGCAACATTTTACAGAAGTGGCTGGGCAAAATAATTTTGGCCATGATTTGTCGCTTTACGACATAGCATGGCCAAAATTATTTTGCCCAGTTTTGGGGGGCCCATCCTAAATTGACTAGATGTTCTTTTTCATAATTTCAGAGATGAGGAAAAGCAGCTTCTTAAAATTAAATATTATTACAGTTTTAAACTGGACTCCTAAAATCAGGAGCCCGGAATTGTGATTTTCCAGTGTTGTTTCATCCACAATTTGTGGAGGGGATGTGGAGGTGAAATGAGTAAAGTTAGATGGTTCAGCAACTACTGGCTCCTGATGACTATTAGCTCTTGGCTGACTGAGGCATGTACAGCAATTTTTTGGTGTCTCCTTTTCCATACACACCCCACATTGTCCTAGGGAGACAATGCAGGACTGATGGGGAGAACCAGCTCCTGGCTATACACACCTCAGCCTGCAAGTGTTGGTGAAGTCTTCAGTGCACACAGATGCCTTGGCTCTGGCCTTGTGGTGACTCAGTGGGGGCCTTGCCATAATCTCTTTATGGGAAACCCCATGGACAGCAGTAAGTTTCTCCTCTTGGTCTCACCTGAAACTCTTTTACCCAGTTCCATTATGCACAGAACTTAGTGGCAACACTTCATTCAGATCAATTCAGAACAGCATTTTTCTTCTTGAAAACTACAGATCTGGTTATGTTGGGCAATGTTCAGCTAATTATATTTCAACTCTGCTAATCTCAGCTTTTTGAAACAGGAAATAGCTTGCAACAGAGAACCCTCTTTTATTCATTGTTGGCCTGATTTAAATGGCACTGGTTCTCATTGTGGAATAAAATGCTGAGCATTTAGCTTTTAACTTTGCTGTCCTTGCAGTGCCCTAGGTTCAAGTATGGACGGAATTATTGTTACTGCATTTTGGGGGGACTTCCCTTGGTTGGTGGTATATGCGTTTTCATGCCAGTATTCTGGTTACTCAGCATTGTCACTGGTTTGGGAGAAGAATGATGATCAAAAGTAAATGGATATGAGGGTGATGATCTCATTTCACAAAAGGCACTGTCTCATCCAAAAGGAGGTATTCTTGGAATTAAAGCTGTTTCTCCTAACCCTCCTAAACATTGGCAGGCCAGATAAACTTCAAACAGCTGTTAAAAGATAAGTTGGTTTCCCTCCCCACAATTGTGTCACTTCTGTATACTCTCATAAAAGTTTCTCTCATAATATTTATGCATGTTGGTAGACCAAGGCAATTGCTTAATACACTGCTGCTTCTATCTGCAAGTTGTGGGTGGAGAAAAGCAGGTGCCTTACTGCACAATTCTGTGCTGGAGAACTTCTTACCTGCCACACGTGACATACTCTTGTGTCTTTCAGGCTGCAATATGCCGTTGTAGTCAGCCCTTGTCTGGGTTAAGTGCTCGTTGCCCAGAGGATGAACAGCTGCTGCAAGCACTTAGGGAAGCCAATCCAGGAAGTCCCTTCATGTATGTTGTAGACACAAGGCCAAAGGTATCACTTCATGGGATCTGGGGGCACTTGTGTGGTCAACAACTCTGACTTTGACATTGCCTAAACACAGTGTGGCCATAAAGGGATTCTGCTAGGGAGGAGAATCATGACATCCTTTTCCTAGTTTCATGGGTGGGCCTTACATAGTCCTTGGACTGCTTCATGTGGACCTTGGGCTAACTTCTTGCAGGTAGTAAGAAGGAGGGAAAGGAGAGGAAAGAGGTTGGCAAAAAGACAGAGAAGAGTGTGACCTGCTCACATTTTGTTCTTCCCAACCCACCACTGCATGTACCTCCCACAACAGATTATCCGCAAGGGAATGTGGCCGTCAGCAGAAAAAGCGTTACCAGCTCTTGACACTACTGATGCTTCTCACACATGCACAAAAGGATCTGCCAGTCACTTCATATTTGCTACTCAGTTAGTATGCCTTTTAAATCAGCCTTCTGCAACTTGATGCTCTCCAGATGTTTTGGGCAGAAACTCCCATTAACCCTAGCCTGCACAATGGGAGTTATGGTCCAAAGCATATGGAAGGCACCAGGTCAGGGAAGGCAGATTTATCTCCTCTTAACTGGCTGCTACTTGCAGCAGGTGGCAAAAAAATACTGACAGTGATGCATCATTTAATACTTAGCATCCCTAGGGGAAAGAGGAGAACATTATGGTAGGATTGTAGCCTTGCAGTTCTGATAATGTTCTAGTTTCTGTCTTAGAAATTTTTGTGAGACACCACACTGTATATAGGAAGAATTCCACTTTTTAAGTTACTTTTTCAAATAATGCTAAAGAGGGCCAGTGGGTGTGTATGTATCAGAAAGGGTTGTGCATAATCATTTTTTGCTACCCAATTTTTCCAGCTGAATGCCATGGCCAACCGAGCTGCTGGAAAGGGTTATGAGAATGTTGATAACTACGACAACATTCGTTTTAAATTCATCGGTATCGAAAACATCCATGTTATGAGGAGCAGCCTGCAGAAGCTACTGGAAGGTGTGTTTGGTTTTTTTATTTTGGCTGGCCACTTGCGATGATCACCTGTTGAGCTACATTGCTGTAAGACAGGCAATTATTGTAGACACAGGAGCCTGTGTACTCTGCAGGTGTGGGACAGGCAAGAGATTAGGAGAGTAAATAACCTGGCAGCTCTCCCGGCTTGCTGAAGTGGCTTGCTGGTGTTACAGCTTGCTCTAAAAAGCAATATTTAGAGAGATGAAAGCTGGTGGGGGATAAACACCTGCATTTTAATTTTAAAGCACATTGAGAAAGGAGGGTTTGAACTATTTGAGCTGCAGAGTTCAGAGTCCTCCTTGTGAAATCAGAAGTGACCAACTTCTTTATATGGAGGAGGAGGGTCGAATCATTCCTGGCCAAGCTGTTTGGAGGCAGGATTCTCCCCAGTCATGATATCACCAAGGGAAATCTGATCCTGCAGGGTGAATAAGCTGGCTTTCTGTCACTTCTCACAAGCTGCCAGCTGAATCAGAATGGTACCTGATGGCACTTTGTTGCACACAAGTTTGTGTTTCCACTTTGGAGGATACCTTGTGAGGTGACTGGATGCCCCAAAGGCTTTTCACCGTTGGTACATAGCAGTGATGGAGTGCCTCTTTTCATTCCAGCCTGCCCAAGCATTAAGGTTTTCATATCCGTGAGTTCCATCTCTTGGAGAGATGCATTATGCATCTGCAAAGGATAGGGCATTCTTGGCGGTTTTGCCCTGGATTTGCCATACCCTCCCACAGAAGGGACGAATGGTGTGTACTCCTTTTGCCACTTCGTTTTGGATTAATATTCCTCAGATTTTATTCCCATCTCATTTTTATTGTTTTAATATTGTATTGATACTTAGAATTTTTATGCACACTGCCCTGGAATCCATGCTTGAATGAAATTTGCAATTTTTTTTCTTTTTAAGCAAAGCACATAACCTGATAATATTAATAATAGTAATTATTATTTTATTTATATACCACCCAGCTGACTGGGTTGCCCCAGCCACTTGTGAGTGGCTCCCAAGAGATTATTAAAAACACAATTTTTGCTTCTCAGTTAACATGCCTTTTAAATCAGCCTTTTGCAAGGTGCATGGCTGAAAGACTCCCTAGTTTCTGACTACATGAAGGAGGAATTTATATTGGGTAGCAATTTCTGAGTGGCCTTCACACAAACAATTTCTCAATGCTTGGAAGAAACTTCCATAATGATAGAGACAGTTGTATGTTTATCATACCTTCCGCTTTTGTTCCTTTAGTGTGTGAAACGAAATCTCCTTCAATGAGTGATTTCCTTACTGGCTTAGAGAACTCTGGCTGGTTACGGCACATTAAAGCTGTAATGGATGCTGGTGTCTTTCTTGCTAAGGTAAGGCCCACCTCTGAATTTCCAAAGATATTCGTCATCAGAGAAATGGGAGAGCAGGAGTGAAAGCTTTATTGCTTGGGCTGTGCTTGGGCGAGGCAGATCTTGAATGAACACTAGGGAAAGTAGGTCTTCTGTGTTAAACCTGTCATAGTTCCATGACTTTTACATGGAATTGGCACTTCAGTGTGCTCAAGAGGAGGCAGTTCCACTATTCAGCTTGATTAGGAGGTTGTTCAGTGTTGGGGCACTCTTAAGGGCAGCAGAAAAAACTAACAGATCGTTAAAGTCCTTGATGGCAAGAACCATAGAGGGGAAATCATAGGTTTGTTTTTTTCATATCCAGGCTATTAAAAACAAATGGAGGGCCACCTACTTAAAAGGGGGTCATGTGTTCTGTAGGCTAGGAATGGGAAACGTGGTGCTCTCCAGATGTTGCTGAACTCCCAACTCACATCAGCACCAGTCAGCATGGCCCACAGTCAGGGATGATGGTAGTTGTAGTCCAGTACGAAGGATCACAGGTTCCCCATCTGTCCTCTAGGCTCCACCTGCTTCATAGTTCATTGTTTGGCCTTCTCTCCATATTGGTATCATGTAATCCAGCATTTTATTTAAAGCAGCAGTCAAAATGTTTTGCTGTGAAATGTTCAGGAGGTTTATATGGTATGTTTTTATTTGTGTGTGCCATCTCACCTGTCATAGGCAGTGAAAGATGAAGGTGCTACTGTCCTAGTGCACTGCTCTGATGGCTGGGATCGCACTGCCCAGGTCTGCTCAGTGGCCAGCCTCCTCTTGGACCCCTTTTATCGGACCTTTAAGGGATTTATGGTAAGAGCAGGAGAAGATCTGTCTTCGCTTTTTTGTTTTTAAACCATATGGTCGATTCATGTAAATGGTTAGAATTGGTCTATGTGTAAACAAATCCTAATTAAAGCATCTGATTGCTTCTGTTGAATGCTTGTGATCTGGAGAAGTCATGGTGCAGTTGCACATGACAAATCTAATTAATTTGAACAGTGGTGGGACTGGGGGATTCTGATATATCATATATGACATGCCCCTTGACTTCTTTATATACAGTGGTACCTTGGGTTACATACGCTTCAGGTTTCAGACTCCTCTAACCCAGAAATAGTACCTCGGGTTAAGAACTTTGCTTCAGGATGAGAACAGGAATCATGCTCTGGCAGTGCAGCAGCAGCAGGAGACCCCATTAGCTAAAGTGGTACCTCAGGTTAAGAACAGTTCCAGGTTAAGAATGGACCTCCAGAACAAATTAAGTTTTTAACTCGAGGTACCACTGTATTTTCAAGCAGTGATGTGGGATGGAATTTTTTTTTTTGGGGTGCTTTATGTCTCTACAGAATTTTTTTTGTTTCATAAGTTAATTAAGTTAATGAATACCGATTGCAAATACAGTATTAGTCAAGCTTGACAACTTCAAAGGTTTTAGCTTTGTTTACTGAAAACATGTAAAATAAACAAGCTAAATTAGAACACTCTCTAGGGCATCAGAAAATGTTCTGATCCAAAATGAAATCTAGTACAAATCATCTTTTGCAAATTTACCCTAATTTGCATAAGACATTCTTGAACTGTCTTCAGGAGCACTGAGTGAAGGTGAGCAGGCAAGTTATGGCATGGGCAGCTGCAGTTCCTGGTACCAGCTAACAGAATGCTTATGGGCCAGGCAGTGATGTGCAGTTGTGCCTACTCTCCTTCTTCCACAGCTAAGCAGATGGGAGGCAAAGCCGTTCCACTGGGCAGGGCTGCACTTTTACTGCAGTAGTATGCATCAAGGTCACTATTTCATACTTTGAACTTGCAGGGCATTTTTCTCTGTGCACATATGAACATAACATCAGTCTAATAAGACTTGAAGTAAAGACTAATGTGAGTTGTGGGGGAGGCTCTCCCTTATTTCATACAGCTGATACATATTTTTTAATTGAAGCCATCTATTCATGCAGTTAAACTTCTGCATAAATGTTTGTCTTTATTCAGTTTGAGGGTATGTGTGATAGACCACCATAATGAATTGTTTCTCTCCCTTTCAGTTTTAACCAAGAATGATAGCTGATACTGAGATTGTTTCATTTATTAGCATTCTTTGAGAACTGAAGTGAAGGGTTGTACTAGGTTGCTTATTAGCACTCTTTGGGTTTACTCCCCAGTTTTTACAACAAGATACTTTTTGAATGCTACAGCTTTATAATCCACTGAGGAAAAGGCTTAAACCCTTCTAGAGGAACTGTGCTGGGGGACTTGTGATTTCAAATTCCTGTAATGTATGCTGCCTTTTAGAATTATAAAGTAAACAAAGTTAGCAACTACCGTATTTTTCGCCCCATAGGACGTACCGCCCTATAGGACGCACCTAGTTTTTTTTTGGGGGGGGGAATAAAGAAAAAAAATTATTTCTCCCCCAGGCATGGGGCTGGCGCGGGGGAAGCCCGAGCTTCCCCCGACCCCAGCCCCCAGAACAGCCTGCTGTCCGCAAGCCTAGGGAGCCGCGCCGGTCTCCCCAGGCTTGCGGATGGCTGTGTGAAGCCCAGGCGCGCTCTTCAGCGCGCCCACGGCTTCGGAATGCAGGCAGCTCTGTGCGACCTTCCGGAGGCCGGCGCGGCTGGGCGCCGGACTCCCGGCGGTTGCACAGAGCTTCCTGAAGCCTCGAGAGTGAGAGCCTCTCACTCTCCAGGCTTCAGCGAAAGCCTGTATTCGCCCCATAGGACGCACCCACATTTCCCCTTCATTTTTGGAGGGGAAAAAGTGCGTCCCATAGGGCGAAAAACACGGTATATGCATCAACTTATGTCTGCCTGATATCTGCTACTGCTACTCGACATAGTAAGGAAAGAATTACTGTGCAAAATGCTGAAGAATTACTGTGCAAAATGCCCTGTATGTTAAATCACAACCAGCATTATTTTTAAAGCTTCCTTACACTTATTAGGCAGTTAAAATGCTAATTTTGAAAACACACACACCCCACAGTGAATGCAGGTTTGCAGTCTAAAAATAAACAGCACAATGGATGACAGAAATATGACTCATTCTGGCTTCAGAGATTTCATTACATATTGGCTATCAGATTCATATTCATATTTGTGTGGCTTTATTAGAGGGCAGATTTATTTTGAACGAAAAGAACGATATTAAATATTGGAATGTGTTGCTGAATTTCCATATCATGGGCTACACACAGTCAGGATTCTAAGTTGACGTGGTCTGTCCTACATTAGAGATGCATATGCTCATTGTATAAGCACAGCGTTGCCAACAAGCATTTCATATATTTAAAGATACAAGTGTATGTGCGGCACTGCATAATCTGATCCCAAGGTGTACCTCAGAATGCTTCCAGGCACTTAAAAAATACTCACTGGAGGCATTTCATGATTCTAAATGGTTTTTCGCTTTTTATGTCGCTCTGAGGTTGACATAAATTGGTCTTCGAGGAGATGAGTCATGCATCTGTGTATGTTGTCTGTTTTCTTCCATGCGAGGGCTGCTGGAGCAATCCCATATCATGTAGAAATGCTTGTCTTAGAATTGGAAATCTAAATGTGTGGTGGTGGTGCTTTTGAAAGCAAAAATCACTTGTGGGAAGGGAAATGAGGATTTTTCAGTTCTACTGTGTCTCCACATGCATTTCTTCCTTGGGCATCCTTCTAGAAGCCCTCCTGCAGAGGAAAATATTGTAAGAGATCTGATAAATGTTGCTTGGCTATATTAACAGTCCTTTAATAGGCTGCTCCTTCCCTTGTGCAGAATGAGGTAGTAGAATTCCGGGCTATACCACATCAGTATGAAGGTGGAGTTGTTCATTCTTCCCCCTCCCCTATATATAAAAAAATCCTATAGCACACTAGTACATTAGGGAAAGGGCCGTGTTTAAATCTTTCATGCTGAAGTACTTGTTTATTACATGCTTTAAGCTTTCTGTGGAGTGGGAGTGCATTCAAGAATATGATACATACATGATGTGGTATAGTTCAGAATTATACTGCCTCATTCCTCATGTATAGCCAGGCACTTAGAGCTATTTTGCACACAATGCTCACCCTATTAAAGCATCTCCATGACGCTGATGTTCAGAATTCTTGATGTTCTGATCTTGCCCTGAAACGACCTGCATTTGGCAAGAGCTTCATGATTTAACAAAGAACTGAAATTGCTATGATATTCCAAAGGTTATCAAGCAGCTACTTTTCGGGTAGTAGAGAGATACAATTAACGATGAAGATCTTTGAATTGACTGCGTCTTTATTTATTGATGCTAGGCTTCATGCTGCTGTTTGCTGCCATTGCTGCACTGGACCCTTTTCCAAGTTAATTAGATATACACCAATGGTATAATAAAATCAGGACATTTATTCACAGTGCAAGAGGAACAATTAGCTACCTTTTTGGCTTCTGTTGTTTTACGTCACGCTGTTGTTTTCGTAGTAGCTACCATTTCCCGCTTCTCCCCATCCCAACTCCTACGGAAAATTAGCTACCATGGATGGAGAAGAGGGTCCCAGTGCTAACAATGAGACCCTCTTCTCCATCCTTCGTAGCTAGTTTTCATAGCCATTCCTCCACCAGCGGGTATGATTTCTAGCCCCACCCACCCCAAATCTTAAGGAGGGAGGAGAACCTTTAGAAATCTTAAGTGAAAGAACTTCAGATTGATTTGTGTTAGTGTAATTTGTTTATATCTGAGCAATATTGGGGAGAGCATTGAGGTGGCTCCTGCACTGAGGCTTGAGCTTATTGCTGCTGCTGTTCACTATCTTGGTTGTTGGCTTTATGTCCCACTGTTAATCCAAAGGAGCCCAGGGGTGACAAACATATCCACAATTTAAAAGCAAAAGCTGTTGTCCCCCCAAAATGCTTAACTGCACTCTGCCCTAGAAACTTTACTCCCTTGTCCTCTGTCTAAATCAATGTTTCCCAAACTTGTGTCTCCAGCTGTTTTCGGACTACAGTTCCCATCATCCCTGATCATTGGTCCTGCTAACTAGGGATGATGGGAGTTGTAACCCGAAAACAGCTGGACTCCCAAGTTTGGGAAAGACTGTTCTGGATAATTTGCATTCAGGAGGGATTGCCTTATTAAGAATGACTTGCAGCATTTGAAATGGACTGCAGAACACACTTAAGACCTGTCCCAGTACTCTCAGGAAAAGGGAGTGGGGTCTTCAGTTACTGAAAAATGTGGGCTGAGGATTTCTTTTCCCTCTTCCTGCTTCAGAGCCTCGTTGGGTTAAAATTTGCCCAATTCCTGCTCCAGATAGACTAGTCATTGCTTGCGATTTTTAAAATTTATTTATCTGCATAGTTCTTGATTATTATTTTTTAAAAAACACACCTCTAAGCAGTTTACATAAAATATACAATAATCTGATTTACATCCTATGCCCTTTTAAAAATGTGTTTTTTGTGGGGGGGTCCTATTGAGTTGTTGTTATTTTTATTATGTATTTTATAGTTTTATATCTTGATTTTATTCTGTGAACTACCCTGAAAGCCCAGGGTATAGGGTGGTATAATAATAATAATAAATATTTAAATAAATAAATAATTAAAATGCAAACCAGAGTTAAAAACCTATTACTGTAAAACAGAAACCCAAAATATAAATAAAACCAGCAGTTAAATATACGTTATAAAATAATATTACATGTCAGCTTTACATACTGTAGTAGGCTTGCCTAAACAGAAAAGGTTTTAGCAAGTGCTATAAACAGTACAGCAAGGACACCTTCCTAATGTTAATGGGCAGAGTTCCAGAGTGTAGGTGCTGCCACACTGAAAGATCAAATGGACGGTGTCTAGGCACAGTTGGTTTTTCTGATGGACCTGAAAGCCTGGTCTTACACTTGTTTAGCCCGAAGTAAGTCCTGATGTGCTGCCCTGAATGGTGCCACTTATTTTTCTTTGTAAGCCACTTTGTAATTTAATTTCTGTCTCTAATTTATCATTAAAGGTCCTGATAGAAAAGGAATGGATTGCAATGGGCCACAAGTTCTCACACAGGTAAAATCCAAATTGTGTGCTAAGATTAGAATGCCTGGAAAGGGGATCCTTCTTGTATATGCTCTTCTTGGCCAAGTGCTTTACGTTGATGTTACAATGTGGTTAAGGGACTGTAGTATGACTAGGGACATCAACATTTATATCCCTACTCAGCACTGAAGCTCATTGGGTGACTTTGAACCACTAGCTTTCAGCCTAACCTACCTCACAGAAATGTTGTGAGGATACAATGCAGAGAGAGAAACTCTGCATAGCACCTGATGAACTGGTACAAGGAAAGATAAGGACTTGTGATAAGAAATTCCACAGATAAGACAAACTTCTCTAAGCGCTCTCCCATCCAGCTTAGCAACTGGAGTTGCTTGGCTGCAAAGGACTATGTTTTTTTACACTCAGTCCTGCCTTTGAGGTTGTGCAGCTTCTCTAAACCCCTCGCCAGTTAGGGATGTAGGAGGCTGCTTTTTTCTAAGTCAGATGGTTGGTTCATCTAGCTCAGTATTATCTACACAGGACAGCACACGGGGCCTTTTTAAGGCCTACCTTGAGACAACAGAGATTGAAAATTAGACCTTTTGCATGCAAGGTAGATGCTCTAAAACTGGGTTGTGGCCCATCCCGAAGCATAACCTTATCAAGCAGGGGTGGTGTGTGTACACACACACACACACACACACGGGAGCCCCCCACTTACTGAGGGGTTTTGTTCCTGGTCACTGCACACATCATCAGAACATGCACAAACAAGTTCCAGCCTGTTCTGTCCCCGCCTTGCCCCCTTTTCTTACCAGAAACAATGCACAAGTCAGTCACACGCATGCTGATCGTGTGCAAGTAGGGAGTTGCCTGTACGCATGCGCATACACACACCACCCCATCATAAAATATCAGGGTAGTGTACAACAATATAGATGAGAAAAAATATAAGAACCAATAAAATGCTTTGAAAATGTTTCTATTCACAAAGTTTCCTCACACAATTTAGAACCCTGGAAGATCATTCACTTCTTACCCAGTTCCTGCCAGCCAGCTCTGCGCTAAGCCAAAACTTGTTGCATGAACGTCACCATAGAAAATCCTACTAACGTCTTAGTTGTTACAGAATATTCAGTGATATTGCTATAATCATTCAAGGCACCATAATAGTACTTTGATATTGTGCCTTTCCTTCAGGGAGTTCAAACTGGCACACATAATTTTACAGGTTGAACTTCTGTCTAGTCATCAGATAAGCCCAGACCTCCTTACCAATAATCATAAAGTCAGCTGGTCTATCAGAATAATCTCTCCAGAGTGTTTATTCCTGCTACTTCTCCACCAGATAATCCCCTTTCTTGATTCTCTCCTTGAGGTCCTAAAAATGTGTCTTTTCCCTACCCCCAGCTAAAATTACAGTAGAAGTTTTGTGAAGGATAACTGAATTCTCCACACCTCTGACCAGATTCTTTGGTGAAGGATGAGGATCCACTGAAGGTTAAACATCTATTGTCTTCCTTCAGCAATGCTTTTGATTATACCCTCAAACTTTTCTGTCTCTCCAGGTGTGGCCATCTAGAAGGGGACCCCAAGGAAGTGTCTCCTGTCTTCACCCAGTTCATTGAATGTACCTGGCAGCTCATGCAACAGTTTCCTTGTGCATTTGATTTTAATGAGCGGTGTCTTCTTGAAATTCACGATCACGTCTATTCCTGCCAGTTCGGCAATTTCCTGGGGACCTGTCACAAGGACCGGGAAGATATGAAGTGAGTTGGCATTTCCAGCCGGCAAAATTCAGTATTTTCTCCTTTGTTCCCTGACTATTAAAATGAAGGAATAATTTCCCTAAACCCACCTGAACTCTGGAGAGTACAGTGGTACCTCGGGTTACCTACGCTTCAGGTTACAGACTCCGCTAACCCAGAAATAGTGCTTCAGGTTAAGAACTTTGCTTCAGGATGAGAACAGAAATTGTGCCCCGGCAGCGCAGCAGCAGTGGGAGGCCACATTAGCTAAAGTGGTGCTTCAGGTTAAGAATAGTTTCAGGTTAAGAACGGACCTCTGGAATGAATTAAGTGCTTAACCCGAGGTACCACTGTAATGCTCTAAAAACATTAGTTGAGGCCCCTGCAAATGTGTATGTGTTTCTTAAATGCATTGTCCCGTTGAGTCAGAAAGTATTTTAGAGATGGCATTAAAGGGGGTTAAACAAATCTATAAGAGAGAAGTTGATGGCTGTATGGAACCTCCATGTTCAGAGCCAGTTGCTGGGCAGTTGGTAATAGCAGGAAAAGTGCTATTGCCCTTATGTCCTGCTTGTGAGCTTCACTGAGGAATCTGTTTGGCCACTGTGGTGAGCATTATGCTGGACTAGATGGACCTTTGGTTTCATCCAGCAGGGTATTTGCATAATGTTCTCCCGCACAGAAGCAGCCTGAGGTGTGTTCTTGGAACTCCATGTGAACCTTCAGGATTTGCAGGAAGCTCAAGAAGATAAGAGGGCAGCTGACACTAGACCCCAATGGTGTGTCTTGCCTCCTATGAACTGCTATCCCAGACCTGTAAAGGGGGACTGTATATGGATGGAGTTACAGATGACAAAGAATTTGGGCCTGCCATTGAATGTGGTACCCCTGTAATATCCTTCTGTAATATGCCAAGAAACTAACCTGTGTCCTGATCTTACCACACCACTCATTTCACCTCCCTCATTCTACTGCAGATGGGAAAGTGTACAATGTAATGGTGGCAGGAAGATTGAAAGGGATGTTTCATGGTAGGGACACAGGAACTTGACACAGGGCTGCCATTTTTGGTGGCAGCAGCATGTTTTATGTCACTTTTAGTTCTTTCCTATGATTGGCTGAATTGCAGCAGTTCTCTCCCTCTATAGCACCCTTCTGCTTCACTAGATCCTTTTGTTTATATCTCCTATCATCAAAAACTGGCTACTGTAATCACTCACTTTTTATTTCCTAGAATCCTTGAGAAGACTCATTCCCTGTGGCCTTTCCTTCTCCAGAAGAAGCAGGAGTTCAGAAACCCTCTCTATAAGGGATTTGCAGCTTACAAGGAACTCCGGCCGAACACACTGCCATTTAGTTTCCAGTAAGTTGCTTATTAGCTGCCAACATGAGTTTGACTAAACTGCAGGAAGCAGTGGAAGACAGGAGTGCCTGGCGTGCTCTGGTCCATGGGGTCACAAAGAGTCGGACACGACTAAACAACAAAAGTTGCTTATTGGCGGAAAGTAATTAGGGAAACAAGGAACCTTGCTGCTGCCTTGACTCTTGAGTTGTCCCATTGCTGATTCTGCTTTAATTTTGTAACTGCATAATGAAAATGAAGAGACTAAGGCTGCCTCCCCCAGTCCTGGTGCTCTTCAGAGGTTTTGGGCTACAACTCCTATCAACCCCAGGCATCACAGCCAATAGTCAGGAGTGATGGGAGTTATAGTCCAACAACATCTGGAAGGAACCAGGATGGGGAAGGCTGCTGTAAGGAAAAATTAAAATTTTATTGCTTTGCTTGACCTCAAAACAAGGAAAACGCATGTTTGAAATCCTTCACTAGAAGCAATTCCAGTAGAAATAACTGATTGTGAATACTGTTGTACACAGTGTTGTCTATCAAAAGGCATGGACACAATTCCCTTGTGGCCAGAACTGTGAAAAAAGTTGTTGCCTGGGATTGTGCTGCTTCACTGGGTGAAGAAGCCCCTTCCCAGAGAGAAATGTTTGCCAATGTTTAATGCTTTGTTATTGTGAGATGCTTTGAGTTCAGTGTTATTGGAAGAGCTGCATACAAATATTAAATCAATCAAATGTTGAAAACTCTTTTGAATTCTGAAGTGTACCTCTTCCTATCAGGTTTATTTAACATGAGGAGGATGGGGATTATTACACCTTATAAAAACTTCAGATCGCTTTCTGTAATAAGGAAACACACTTACATTGTCATCATCATCATCCCCTTCGCAGATCTTAGTTTCTATTTTTCTCTCCCCCTTTCCTTGAGGTTCTGGTGTGGCATGTATAACCGCTTTGACAAAGGAATGCACCCAAAACAGTGTGTATTGGATCATCTCCTTGGCTGCATCAGCCAGAAAGTGGAGCTGGAGGGTGTTGCTACTGACTTGGAAAATGTAAGTAGTGCACAGCAATGAAATACGTGTTCAGAAAAAGAAAACCTAATCTTGCAATGCAGGCCTTCACAATACAACTGAGATTGGGAAAAAGGAGGCACTTTGCACTGGAAGGTAGGTGTGGAATTATCCCAAACTGTGCCTTAGTATATCCATGCCTTTGCAGTCCTAGGCAGCCGGCAAAGCCACAGTACTTGTGAAGCTTACTGTGGGCTGTGTTTTGGTTTGGTGGTTTACCAGCTGTGTGGGAGTCTTCCAAGTGCTCTATAATTCTATCTTTAATAATGCTGTCTGCCGATTTTACTGTGACCAGTTAGGGTTAGTCCAAGATGTTACCCAATAGGTACATAATATCAGCTAGGTGTTGAAGTGCTTTCCTTCCTCCATTCCGACCTGCTTCACCAGAAGATCTGATATTTGTAAAGCAATGATGCTCCATATGCTGGTCTCAAAAATGCTTTTATTCTCATAGTTCATTCTTTCTTCTGATATAGAAGTTGCCTCCCTTAGAGGGACCACTGCCAGATGAGGTTTCCATCTTATCCAAAATGGTTACTGCATCAACTGTCTGTTCCAAGTCCCCAATGCTCAACACACCCCAGGACTATGAGGATGAGCCTCCTGCCCTGTTGGCTAATGGCATCCTGGCAAGGGAGGAGGGAGATGAACCTGATCAGCAGCTGAAGAGCCAAGAGGGTCTTGTTAATCCCCGCGACATTCCAGGTGGTGACAGCAGCAGCAGCAGTAGCATCCGTGGGACCATCCAGCCTGAGGCTCGAGCAAGAAATCTCCATTGAACTGATCTTTGCATCTGCCTTGAGCCATAGAAAATTGGCAATAAAGCATGCAAGACCTGTGGCCCGGTGCTGGGAGAGCCACCTCACTCACGTATGGCTAAGTGTTGTGTTATGTATTTTGGAAGCAAGGGAGGAGGCTGGTGTTCAAAGGCTTTCAAGAGCAACCCATGGGTTTGCATGGGGCTGGCTTTTGGGCTGCCACAAATAGTTTCTGGGCATATCTTCCAGAACAGCCACATGTTCCTTTTTCTGGTGCAAGTACACATGGCTTCTGAGGCAGGTAGCCCTTTCCAAGATGAGGAAGTTTTTTAAAGCCACAAGGTTTCAGATACATGGATTCAAAAGCATTGTGAGCTACTAGCGAATGGAAGAAAATGCCAGTCCATATTAGAGAGGCTTTCCTTGGCTGGCTTCTGACACCTTGCATGGGAATTCTATTCAGTGGCAACATTGGGTTAATATTTGCTGGCCCCTGCACATATTTTTGTAAGCAGTTGTGCCTTTTTTGTTCTTTTTTCTTTTTTTAACTAGAGATTACGGTTGTGTCCAGCCATTAGCAATGTGATGTTTTATTACTGTGATATGTGGCTGTAATGTGCAAGTATGTGATCTTTTTTATTGATACCTTTTTTAAAACACAAAACAACCTGTTTTGAACCTGTCTTGCTGATAGTTTATATCTTTATCAATGTTAATGAGCTTGAATAATATTGTGGCATGTAGATGAAGTGGCGATAGACTATGGTCAAAGGTCTTAAAGCATCTAAAGTCTTGGCTGCTCAGTGACATGCCATTTAGCTTACACTCATTCCTGGAGGTCTAGTCCAAGCACTGTCTGGGTTACTGTGCATCTTTGCTGGTATAGGAGTGGGTGCACAGACTCTCCACTCCACCCCACCTACAGTGTTACATGTGCACAGAAACCCAGTTACATAAGACAACACATTCTCAATCTTCCTGGCTTTCAGGATAATGAATCACATGAATTCATTAACCTTGTGGAACACCTGGTTCATGCATGGAAGGAAGGAGGGCAGCACACCTATTATTCTACCATGGGAAGCCTCTTGTCAGCTTCCTAAATATCTGAGCTGGACCAAAGTGTGATTACCGTGACATATTTGAGACAAAATGGGACCAAGGTTTCCCATTTCATCTCTTAGGAATTGCCTTGTGTGATTTGCTATTGACCTCCCAGAGTGAAGGATTTGGAAATAAAATGTATGAGTTTGTAGTGCTTCCAGTTCCACCATTATTGAAATAGATGCACAAGATTTGTGTTGTTTTATGCTTGTTAGTAGGGACACGGGTGGCGCTGTGGGTTAAAGCCTCAGCGCCTAGGACTTGCCGATCGAAAGGTCGGCGGTTCGAATCCCCGCGGCGGGGTGCGCTCCCGTCGTTCGGTCCCAGCGCCTGCCAACCTAGCAGTTCGAAAGCACCTTCGGGTGCAAGTAGATAAATAGGGACCGCTTACTGGCGGGAAGGTAAACGGCGTTCCGTGTGCTGCGCTGGCTCGCCAGATGCAGCTTGTCACCCTGGCCACGTGACCCGGAAGTGTCTGCGGACAGCGCTGGCTCCCGGCCTATAGAGTGAGATGAGCGCACAACCCTAGAGTCTGTCAAGACTGGCCCGTACGGGCAGGGGTACCTTTACCTTACCTTTATGCTTGTTAGTGGCACACTCCTTATCTGGGTGAGTGAACTGCCACCATGCTATAGATCAGGGGTGGGGTACCTTGGCTTTCCAGATGTTTGATCCCAATGCCCATCATCCCTGGCCATTCTCTGTGTTGGTTGGAACAGATGAGAGGCAGCTGTATTCCAGCAACAATTGGAGTGTCACAGGTTCCCTATCTTTCTTTTAATACATTCCTTATTGGGTAAAATAGTGATACGTAGGCTTGGAGATTCCTGCTGACTTAACAAGAGGAAGAACAGTTTGCACTTGCAAAATCCTAATTTTTCCACAAAGCACTAACATACAGTGTAGCATCCTACATTTGTTTTTTACTCCCCATCCCCCACCCCACTGTTGTGTATTTGCAGTCTTGGCAACAGGAGTGGATCAAAGTGAAGCACTGCTCCTTGGAATCTTCTGCACTTATCCAGGGAAATGAGATTCCAGGCACTAAAACACTATATCCTATTATGATAGAAAAAAAGTCTCTTCATAAGTTAGTCACAGTTCCTGACTTGCCATTAGCAGCTGATTTCAGGACTGTGTTGTATGGAATACATTTTGAAATATTGTACAGTTTTCCTGTCTTTATGACCAGCCTGGCATTTTCTCCACATGTAATATTGCCAGAGGGTCGCGGGTGGCGCTGTGGGTAAAAGCCTCAGCGCCTAGGGCTTGCTGATCGAAAGGTCGGCGGTTCGAATCCCCACGGCGGGGTGTGCTCCTGCTGCTCGGTCCCAGCGCCTGCCAACCTAGCAGTTCAAAAGCACCCCCAGGTGCAAGTAGATAAATAGGGACTGCTTACTGGCGGGAAGGTAAACGGCGTTTCCGTGTGCTGCGCTGGCTCGCCAGATGCAGCTTTGTCACGCTGGCCACGTGACACGGAAGTGTCTTCGGACAGCGCTGGCTCCCGGCCTATAGAGTGAGATGAGCGCACAACCCTAGAGTCTGTCAAGACTGGCCCGTACGGGCAGGGGTACCTTTACCTTTACTTAATATTGCCAAAATGGTATATGCTTTGCCAGGACACTGAGCTCTGGTATTCTAATAAAGGTGCTTCTTAAGAATCTCTGGCTGGTTAGATGAGAACATTTCGCCTCACTTCCTCTTAGCCTTGCTGCTCAGAAATCCATTAACAATATGCTGCTAGAGAAGATGCAAGCTTATGCTAATGCATATTTATCTTGCTTGTTTGCTTTTTGACCTGCTGGTCTTTTAAAAAACAACAACACAAAAAACCTTCATTTTCAGAATATAGAAAAGGGAAGAAAAGTCAGGACTTGAAACCCTAATTAAGCACTGGGTCCTGATGAAGAGAGTTGAAACAGTACACATACATAACAATTATTAGCAAGCAAATGTGTGACCAAATATATTGATGCTAATCCATGGGCACTGAAAGTCGCACAAGTTGTAGTTTCTTTCCTGTAAAGCAGGTGGGCAAAAACCTTCTCAGCCCAAAGGCAACATTCCTTCCCGGAGAACCTTCCAGAAGCCACATATTGGTGGTAAATGAAGCCAGAGCCTAAAGAGGGCAGATGTAAGGATGTGACTCTCAGCAAGCCACATTCCAGGAGCACAAAAGTTGGATGTTACTACAGCTACCCATGCAGGCAAGCAAGAGTCATAGTTGTCATTCAAGCACAGATTCCAGCCATGCAAAAACACTCAAGCATGTACCAGAGCGTTAGTGAGTAGCATGGCTTGAGTGGGGGGTGGCCTCATGTTGTGGGGCAGCATAGTGAGAGTCCCAAGCAGAGGAAAAGGCCTGGAGGGCCACATCTGGCCTCTTGGGCCCGAGGTTCCCCACCCCTGCTGTATAGATAAATTAAGTCCTTTGTTACACTGTTTTTAAAAGGAAAGCAACTTTTTAAAATATGAATTATGTAGGAGTAAGACATTCCAGTCAAAGGTGAGAAAATGTTAAACTATGCATTCAAATGTACCTCTGTAATAAGCACCTATTATCTTCTAATACTACTATATAGCATTTGCTAAGTGATTCTGTTTAAATTTCAGTATTAATGTTGTTCATTGTATTCCAAAATGAACTTGCCTTTTCCTGGGGTAAAAGCACCTGTTATCTGACCAGTGTGATTTGAATGGAAGACAGCATTAGAATCATAGAATTGTAGAGGTGGAAGGGACCATGGGGGTCATCTAGTCCAACCTCCTGCAATGCAGGAATCTTTTGCCCAACGTGGGGCTCAAATGCACAACTCTGAGATCTCATGCTCTACTGACTGAGCTATCTCCTAGTAACTAAATTCAGTCTTCTGAAAGAATGGTAGTTGCAAGCTTTGAAGCTGTGATTCATGTCTCTGGAGAAAGTTCTGAAAGCACTTGAATCTTTGCCTGATTGCTGAGATTTTGGATTCTTGCCATTAAGACTCAGTCATAAATTTCATTATCTCAGTCTTTTATCACTACTGAAACATCTTCATTCTGTGCTAGCCTGAAGTGATCACATTTTCTTCCACTTCTTCAAGAAGATCACCAGTTGCTATCTTTTTCTTTGGGCGACACCTCTTAAAATATATTTTTCCTTCCTTGTATATCTAGTTACTTCATTTTGTTAAACACAATCCCATCCAATCTAATAAACTTTTCCAGCCTTGTAGTTTTGATCTCTAAGCCTTTCTAGCCTTTCATCTAGTATTAAAGTTCCTTTCCTCATGTAGATTGATAGAAAACTCTAACATTAGTTCTTGGTAAACAAGAGGATAAGTTTTCAAATAGGGATGCTTACAAAATTCTCCCCATCTGAATTTCTTATAAATCAATGTGGAGGGGATCCACATTACTCCATATTACATTAAACTTGCTGAAGTGGCACTAATGTATCATTAGTCCAAAAAATTTCAGTTCCTAGGTGTTTTGTTTGGTCTCATGTGAAACTCATCACAGTTTTCAGTCTGCTCCCCCCCCCCATTACAGATACATTCACCAGAGCCTAGTACGTTTACTGATTAAGCTGTGGGAATCCTGATACGTAGATCAGGGACGATCAATCTGTGGCTCTTGGACTAATTTCTTGCATGTGTTGAGGAAGAGGTAAACAGAGGAAGCTTCCTTATACCAAGTCAGATCCTTGACCCTTATACCAGGTCAGGCCCCATCTAGCTCAGCATTGCCCACACTGACTGGCAGCAGCTGCCCAGGATTTTAGACAGAGTCTCTTTTCAGCCCTTCCTGGAGATGAACTTGAGACCTTATTCATGCAAAGCAGATGCTCTACCACTGAGCTGCAGCCTCTTTTGGAGTGGGGTGGAATGACAGGGGGGACCTGTTCACTTTGAGTTGTGGCCCGACTCACCACCATCTGGAAGCAAATACAGTCCTCAAGAGAAAAAGCTTTCCCCATCGCTATGGTAGGTTGAGATCCATTTTTCCTGACTGTGATTTAATCAATCTGGATTCCACTGGTGTGTGCATTAGTCACATGGAAGTAGGAGAAATATGTGAATTAAGAACTGCAGTGCCTGCTACAAATTCACAGGTTTTATAGTCCTTGCCCAATCTAGAAAGTCATGCATGACCCAGTAAATCCATGGAATAAAATTGGGGTGTGGGGAGGGAACTAGCCATCCCTAACTTTTAAGATATTTAACTTGTGCCATGAAATGTAACATTTGGGGTGGAGGAAGGAAGGCAGGGAAGGAAGATCCATAACAAACTAGAACGGAAATAATTATTATAAGAGTTATTTCATGTTTGTACACAAGTAAGCTTATATTTTGTCAAACTCAGTTACAAAATGTTTTGTAAGAACTGAAATGTTCCCTTTACGCTGGAAACAGATTCTGTAGCATCTACCTCTCATTATATTCAGAGATCAATTTGCTCTCTCCCTTTTCCTTTAGACTTCGTCAGAGGAGATAGCCAAACATTCCTTGCTAATGTGAAGTAGTCTGTTAATAAACTGATTTTTTGCATTGTTTCCTCTCCATAGATATTATTAAAACAAAATATGATACCTAATTGTTCAAAGCGGTTTAAGCAAAAAGGGATTATAGTAAAATGGCAAATGCAGTCCAGTGTAAGCAAGGGTCAGGTTGTGTACACTGAGGCAAAATAATAATAATTAATTTCACATATATATGCTCTTGGGGGATGAACTGCTGGTGAGTGACCAGGAATGAGACCTTGGGGTTGTAGTGGGTATTTTAATGAAAATGTTGACCCAGTGTGTGGCAGCTGTGAAAAAAGTGGATGCCATGGTAAAATAAAACTGCCAATACCATAATTCAAATAATGCAAATCTATGATGCAGCCACTCTTGGAATACTTCCCTCAAAAAGGATATTTTTCATGGAAGAGGTTATAAAAAGGGCATCTAAAATGATCAAGGGGGTGGAGCAGCTCCCCTATGAGGAAAGGTTACAGCATTTAGTTTGGAGAAAAAGCAAGTAAGATTTTGTGGCATGGAGAAAGAAGAGAGAAGTTTTTTGTCCCCCATAATACTAGCACTCGGGGACATCCAATGCTGGACGAATCAGGACAGAACGTATTTCTCCAACCAGCAAATAGTTGAAATGTGGAAATTGTTCCCACAAGAGGTA